CCTACCTAACAAGTTTAAGGCCTTATATTCAAATCCCAACACCACGGGGGCTGGGGGGGGGAAGCAGAATAGAGTGTGATGGACTTTTAGGTACAAACGTCAACAAAAGAACTCTGGTTTTAGAGCAAAGATTTCTGAGATAGGTGTGGCATTTCCTAGGAAGGGAAAGCACAGATAGAATAGAATAATCCTCTCTGTGTGTGTGTGTGTGTGTGTGTGTGTGTGTGTGTGTGTGTGTGTGTGTGTGTGTGTGTGTGTGTGTGTGTGTGTGTGTGTGTGTGTGGCAGAGCAGTTGACCCCAGGTGGCAGTTCACTGTTTGTGGAGGGCTCTGTGAGGATTTCATGTTCTATGAGGAAGGAAGATACCAGGCTGGAAACATGGAGTCTGGATCCAGACTTACTGAGTTCAAATTCTACTCTAGCCAGGCCAGGCACTGGTGATTCACACCTGTCCTCCTAGCTATTTAGGAGATTGTAGGGATCTGGTTCGAGACCAACCTGTGAGGATCTAGATGCTGTGGTGCACACTGGTTTTCTGAGAAATGGGAAAGCCTGGCATAAGGGGACTGGCCTAGACTTCCGCCTAGACAGGAAGTGAGGCCTATCTCAATAATTAACAAGACAGAGCAGCGGGTGTGGTCCAGTGGTTAAAGCACTTGCTTTTCAAGGATAAATACCAACATTCGAGAGACTTTTGTCCTTAACTAGAATGGGGGTGGGGCTAAGAGAACTTAATTTTTACTTGGGTGGGGTTTCCCCCTATAATTGGTCTCAGAGTGTTTTACGGACCCCATCTGGCTCTGCTTAGTGTGACTGGTGTTGCCCCGTTGCCCCAGCTGGCTTGAGTCCTGTGGCTAAACTCACCTGGGGGGCCAAGACCCGGCTGTACTCTGAAGACCAGATGGTCACTGCTGCTCTCTGCTGGTCACGCATAGACACTGCACCCTCCTCCAGGCTTTTTCAAGGAAAAGCAAAAATCATTGAAGGCCAGCTTTGAACCCACAGATGCCTTAAAAAAAAAAAAAACTCTGCCAGCTGAAGTCTTCCCCTCATCCTCCCACTGGCCTCACCCCATGCACATTGCAAGAAAAACTTTATTTTTTAAACAAAGCATGACATCACTGAATGCTCTGCGTAAGAAGACCAGTAAGGCTCTGGTTCATTCCCAAGGTTCATTTCCAGAAGAAATTGCACTGTGCACCCTGAATATTGACTGCAATTTAGGTAACCACAGTGACTGGCCCTGACTTAGATTCATTAGATTACAAAAATGATATGTTTATCCTAGTTATTATTATTATTATTTGGTGTTTTGTGTCCCGAGGATCATCTTTGAGTTCATACCTTCCAAGGGGCCTCTGGCCTTAGTCTCTCTTTTCTCTGGTTAAATGACCTGATCTGGAAATCCACTGCTAGAAATCTAACTGAATCCGCTATTGTCTTTGTTCCTTCTTCCCAGCTGTGTAACATTCCATTGCTTCCTACGTTACTCCACTCCATTAAACCACTTTCTTCTGGGTGGGCATTTCTCTTAGTTCCAATATTTCACAATTTCGGATAATACTGATTTTTGTTACTGGACCTAGATCTTCCGATTAGTTGTGCCAGGGCCAAAGGGTAAATGCGTTGGGCAAGCTGTGCTTAGTTGTCCCAAATTAAAGAAAAAAGACTGGACCATGAGCCACTCTTTCTAGTCCTGCTCCGACTGGTCAGAGAGGGAACTAGAGGCAAATAGCAAGGCCAGTGGTGTTGACCATGTCTGTTTTGTGGGTGTGCTCAACTGAGCTGGCTGTGCTCTGAGTTGAGGCCCTAGGGTGGTATTACTTGTCACCTCCACCAGGACACAGGATCCATGACTGTAATGACTGTTGCTCTGTCTTTCGACCGTAGCTTCAGGAGCAGGACCTGGCCCATCAGAGGTCTCTGTTCACAGCGTGGCTGCACCCAAGCTGTCCTGCTGGCCATGTGGGCAAGTGAAAGAAAGCTTAGCTTCTAGGGAGGCAGAGATCAAGAGGATCCTGGTTTAACTGAGCAAAAAGCTAGCAGATCACATCTCAACTGATACCCTGGACATGGTGGGGGATACACCTGTAACCCCAGCGATGTGGGTGGTATAAATAGGAGGCATGCAGTTCGGGGGTGGCAAGATCAAGAAAAATGAAGCATAAAAACAGAAAGGGAAAGGGATGTGGCCCTAGCAAGCAGGAGGCCCTGAGTTCATATGCCAGTCCCATAAAAAACAAGACAAAACAAAGGAAGGAGGGAAGGAAGGAGGGAGGGAAGGAAGAAAGGAAGGAAGGAAGGAAGGAAGGAAGGAAGGAAGGAAGGAAGGAAGGAAGGAAGGAAGGAAAGCAGGCAGGCAGGAAGGAAGGAAATAAATTGCCACCACACATACCTTTCCTTGGGGTTGAAAATCTGCTGCAGGAGGAGTGTTTGCTGAGCCCTCTTTCCCCCGGTGCTGCTCTGGAGAGAGGCGGATCACCATGATTGCCACTGTGCACAGCGCCGGGCTGCACACAGGCCCGGCAGGTGCACTTGCCACAGCCAGCCGGGTCCTGCCCCATGCCATCCATCCCTGCCTGGGGCCGCGCACATGCACCTGCTGCATGGGATGGGGGTGGGGGTCTCAAGAGGAGGCTTTGAATTCACTGCAGAAGCTGGAGGCGCATGTGATTAAAAGTGAGCCTCGAGGAGCAGACAGAGTTAATTACGCACTCTGAGGACTCTCTTTTTGCAGTGGGCATCATGGCCCACAGCCCCGGGGCCTGGGGCAGAGCCGGCTGCCAGGTGCTTTGCATCCCAGCCCAATTATCTCCCACAAAGGCAGAGGATGGGGGGGGGGGAGGACAAGGAAGAGGGGGAGGGGGAGGGGGAGGCCACTCTGTGGAGCATCCTTACATCAACCAGCTGCTAAAGGGAAAGGGCTTGTAAGGCTCATCGGGAATGAGAAAAAAAACAGCACTTTTCAAAATAAACAGGGATAGGAGAAAATAAAGACTTTAATCTCCATAGTTGGTGTACCACAGGCCTTCCTCTCCATGGGGAGCCGTCATGAAAAACACACATTCCCCCCCCCCCCCCATGCAAGACCACTGGGAGTCCACACCTCAGGCTTGAAGAGGGCCATTGTGGTGGGTGCCAGGGGCTCATACCTGGAAGCCTACCTACTCAGGAGGCTGAGATCTGAGGATGGCAGTTTGAAGCCAGCCCAGGCAGGCAAGTCCATGAGAATCTTGTCTCCAATTAACTACAAAAGAAAAAAGAAAAACAAAAAGCCAGAAGTGGAGTTGAGTCTGGGTAGTGCCCACACCCTGAGTTCAAGCCCCAGTACTACACACACACACACATACACACACACAGAGCCATTGTAACACAGTGGATCGTGTGAGATGGAGCTAACAGCTCTGAAGACCTGGACGGAAGAGGTGATTTTCTATTCAATAATGATTTGTCAATATGGCTAACAGGCTGCTGTGGTTGCGCAGGACAGGACAGTGCAAGGTTCGATTGATTTCTCAGCAATTAATGGTAATGATCTAAAGAGCAAGGGAAACCACAGGTGTGGCTGAGGGAGGCTGGTAGCAGGCATTGGGGCCTGGCTGGCCGGCTCTCTGAGCAGCTCAGCTAGAGCAGTAAGGACTCACTCACAGAATCCCCCGTAATTCAGACCCGCTGGGTACTGCAATTTTAATTGGATTATGAGCCTATATGATGCCAGGTGGAAAGCAGACAATACCAATTAAACTTCAAAGGGTTTTGTTGTTGTTGTTTGCTTGTTAAGTTGGTTGGTTTTGGTGTGGATCCTGGGCACTGTCCCTGAGCTTTGGGGCTTTAGCTAAATGCTCCACCACTTGAGCCACAGCTCCACTTAGGGTTTTCTGGTGGTTAATTGGAGATAAGTCTCATTGACTTTCCTGCCTGTGGTGGCTTTGAGCTGTGAGTTTTAGATGGCAGCATCTTGAGTTGCTAGGTTTACAGGCGTGAGCCACCAGTGTCCCTAGTTCCCTCAGCTTTAGTATTAGGCCTAAAACCTCATGGGCAGGCTAGTGTTTTCTGTGGCAGAGGAAGAATAAAAGGAAATGATGATACATATATTAGATAAAATTCTATGCAATGGTTACCAATTCTGAATACCGTACCACAAAAAAGAAGCTGAAAATATGGGCATGTAACCAGCTAATTCCTGTATACAGATGCTGCTGCTGCCATTGAATTAAAAGTATTGGGTTCTGGCTACCATTTTCTTCTTACAAAGAATATGGAATTTAGAGGCATATCATAGAAAGGAATTTGTAGTTAGGCTTGAACTCTGGGCCTGGGCGCCATCCCTCAGTTCTTCAGCTCAAGGCAAACACTCTACCACTTGAGCCACAACGCCACTTCCAGTTTTCTGGTGGTTTATTGAACATAAGAGTCTCAGGGACTTTCCTGCCCTGGCTGGATTTGAACCACAATCCTCAGATCTCAGCCCCTTGAGTAATTAGGATTACAGGCGTGAGCCACTGGCGCCCGGCTAGAAAGCTATGTAGCTGTCACATTCACTTGGTTGATCATGTTCTCCAACTCTTTGTGTCTCAGTTTTGTCATTTACAAAGTGAGCTAACAGAATGGCTTTGGTTTTATGAGGTTTGAAATGAATGAGAGGATTGACACATTGTGGTTATTATTGTCATCCTTTTAATTTACATTCTTAACATAGTACCAATTTTTTTTTAACATTTTTCTAGCTCACGTGTAACAATAAGTAAGACAGCTTTAAGGCATAAAAGGAATAAGAAAGATTCAAGAAATTGAACTTTGAAGTTAGGTTAGGTTCCACTCACTTTGGGCCTCGACGAGGAAAAGCCACCGGCAACCACACGGGGGCGCACGCACCCAGGCCAGGCCAGGCGCTCCCGGCGGTGTCCAGAAGGGGACGCTGCAGGGAATGACAGCAGAGGCGGGACCGGAAGCCGGGCTGGAGGCAGCCGGGCGTCTCCGTTCGCTCCCCTCACTTCCGGTACCGGTGCGAGCCGAGCCCCGGTGTCCGCGCCCCGGTCCCTTTCCGTGCCGCCGCCGCCGCCGCCGCCGCCGCCGCGATGCCGCTGGAGAACCTGGAGGAGGAGGGTCTGCCCAAGAACCCCGACCTGCGCATCGCGCAGCTGCGCTTCCTGCTCAGCCTGCCGGAGCACCGCGGGGACGCGGCGGTGCGCGAGGAGCTGATGGCGGCCGTCCGTGACAACAGTGAGGCCCGCGGCGCCGCGTCAGCGGCCTGGGCCGGGGCTCGCGCTCCCCGGCCGCGGGGCGCCCTCGGGCCGGGGCTGGGAGCTGTCACGGGCTCGCAGCCGAGGCCCCGGCTGCTGTCAGGCCCCGCCCCGCCCGGGGGACCCCGTGCAGCGGGCGGCGGCCTCGGCCCCTCCGGGCCGGGCGAGCGCACCCGGGCCGGCACGGCTGGGCTCCTGCCCGACGCCAGGCTTCCCCGGCGAGGGCCGGCGTGCTGGGCGCCTGGTGGATGCCGTGCGAGGGCTCTGATACAGAGTGTGTGTGTGCGTGCGTGCGTGTGCGCGCGTGTGCGTCCCGAGACCCTGATGTTCGGGGACCCGCGGTGTAGGGGAGGACGACAGTCCCAGCTTGGAGAGCTCACTGCCCTTTTCCTTGGCTTTCAGACATGGCCCCTTACTACGAAGCCTTGTGCAAGTCCCTCGACTGGCAGATGGACACCGACCTACTCACCAAGATGAAGAAGGCAAACGAAGAGGAGCTGAAGCGGCTGGACGAGGAGCTGGAAGACGCCGAGAAGAATCTGGGCGAGAGTGAAATTCGAGACGCCATGATGGCGAAAGCGGAGTACCTCTGTCGGATAGGTGACAAGGTGAGTGGACAGGTGGGAAATCGGGATGAGTCCAGCCAGCCGACTTGTCATTTGCAAAAGCCCCAAGGCAATCCGTCACGTTTACCTGGACGAGGCAGTACAAAGAACAAATAATCGTCGTCTTGCAGTACTCTGGTTTCCTCCTCTACACAACAGCCAAGGGTGTGCTTCCCCCTTCTTTTGGTGATACTGAAAATCTTAAGTACATGTAAAAAGGTTTTTATCTATTCACTTATTCTTACAACATTGGAATCATTCTCAGTAGTCCACTTCCCTCACTTGGCTGAGAAACTAGCACGTTTGAAGATTTTGAACCAGGTATCTTTTCCTCTTAAGGAACTAAAACAGTGTTGAGGTGTTGGTTTGGTCTTTATGGACTTCTTACATCCAGAGATAATCTTTGTAGCCCTTCATATAGGGAATGAGTAATGTTCTAAATGAAATTTGTCTTACTCTTCTAAGTCTACGCTAAGTATATGCTTTTCCTTCCTTTGGCATTTTATCTGAATTTTATATTAACATTCATAAATCTTGTACATTTTGGTTCATCATATACCTGAGATCCCATTATTGGTATAGCATGCTTTGTTCAGCTGTCCATAGATCTGTATACTCCTTCAGCCTTAAATTGCTGCTGTGAAAACATGCTTGTGAAGATGATCTGGTGTATATGTGCTCACGTTTTCCTAAGGTCATCATATTAATCGCTGCAACAAAACTGCTGGGACAGTTACTTTGTGTGGCCACTTCTGTGTATTACTGGACTTGAAGTTTTTTAGTTTAATCACTGTGTAACAGTGGTTAAGTGGGCAAGCTCTGAATGCTCTTAAGTGTACGTGTACACCTTTTCAATGTAGTTTGATGGCTGTGAGCCCTGGGACTGTATTGTCTGGATTCTTTCTACCTTGAGTGATTGTGATGTAGGGAGTCTTTGCTTCTTCCGCCGTGAGATAGGGATGACAGCTGCTACTTTGTGCTGGCAAACAGCTTGAGCACAGGCAGGGAAGGTGCGCGCACGTAAGGCTGCTACTTAAATCTTACCAAGCCTCCTCCATTCTACTGTAAGACTTGGTCATTGTAAAAATCTGGAAAATACGGAAAAGTTAAAAATTAATGTTTCAAGTATCTGTGATTTGGTTTGAAAGAGTAATGTCTTACATGTGAATGAGAAACTAGAAGATTGATTCAGTCCTTAAATTTTAACAAACGTGCTTGAGTCAGCATCAAGGGATTGTCATTATGTTCTTATACTTCATTTCTTTTATGTTTATTAAGTAATATTCTTTCAAAAAGCCTTCATTATTTCCCCCTATTTTTTTTTCTTTTCTTGTTTTTTGGGGGGGGTCTGGTTGTGGGGCCTGAACCCTGAGCCTGGGCGCTGTCCCTCAGGTCTTCAGCTCAAGGCTAGTGCTCTACCACTTGAACCACAGCACCACTTGCAGCTTTTTTCTTTTTTCTTAGGTGGTGCTGAAGAATTGAACCCAGGGCCTCATGCATGCAAGGCAAGCGTTCTACCACTGAGCCACCTTTCCAGCCCCATTTTTTTTTTTCACTTTTTAAATTGACTATTACTAAGTACTTCATGGTTGTATTACCAGATTATAGTCTGTTCTTTATGATGCTCAGTTCCTTGTATTTGTTAGTGGAGGCATTTTCAAGACTGTTCTGACTTGATCTTCTTGGTCAACTGTGTGTTGACCCAAGATTCCCAAGCTTGCCTGTTCCTTTTACTCTCCCCAACTAGACTTGCACATTCTTCATGGAATTCTCTTTTCCTTCAGTGAGGGACAGTTGTCATACCAAGACCCAAGTGCTCGGGAACACATTTGCTGTCTTTACAGTCCCTCATATTTATGAAGCATAGCTAGAAACTACTCAGACCGCCAGACACTACCTTGAAAAATACCAAGTATAGCTGGGTGCTTGTGGCTCATGCCTGTAATCGTAGCTACTCAGGAGGCTGAGATCTGAGGATTGTGGTTTGAAAGCTAGCCTAGGCAAGAAAGTCCATGAGACACCTTTGCTTTACCACCAGAAAACCAGAAGTGGAGCTGTGGTTCAAAGTGGTAGACTACTAGCTGTGAGCAAAAAACCTCAGGGACAGTGCCCAGGTCCTGAGTTCACGCCCCACAACTGAAAAAAAAAAAACACGAAGTATAAACAAGTGATTTATTCATTTTCTTAGAAAAAAAATAACTTCTTAATTCCATAATGCTTTGAGGTGAAATCCAGTACTTATATACTTGGTTGTATTCTAATAGTTCACAGCTAAGACTTCCTATGTCTAAACTGATTGTTAATTACAGTAAAGTTATTTTGTAATTATTAAGGGTAGAAACACTGAACATATTAAAGAGCATAAGTATGTTCTAGGCATATCTTATATCTTATATAAGGATATTGCTTATCACCCACTGTCAGTAATGATTAGCTTGTAGCCTTCTTTTGTATCCATTCCTACCCATTTCCCCAGCCTTGTGAAGAAACTGGTTGTTTAGGGGATTTGTAAGTTTTTCTCACTTTTTGTGTTGAATTTCTTGGACAGGAGGGAGCTCTGACAGCTTTTCGCAAGACCTATGACAAAACTGTGGCCCTGGGTCACCGGCTGGATATTGTATTCTATCTCCTTAGGATCGGTCTCTTTTATATGGATAATGATCTCATCACACGAAACACTGAAAAGGCAAAAAGGTACTTGCTAGCAGTGGGGCTATGCACCTCTAAAGTACATGCTGCTCATGAGAAATTGGTAGAAGGGATTGCCTATTCTGCTTACTACTATTTTTTGTCAAATAATTGAATTAATTCTTTAAATACTTCCCTTTAGTTCAAGTTTTTTAAAAGTCATTTACTTTGATATGTGGAACTGTTTGTTATAATCTCTTTTTATTTAATAGCCTCATTGAAGAAGGAGGAGACTGGGACAGGAGAAACCGTTTAAAAGTGTATCAGGGTCTTTATTGTGTGGCTATTCGAGACTTCAAGCAGGCAGCCGAACTCTTTCTGGATACTGTGTCAACGTTTACATCCTATGAACTCATGGACTACAAAACCTTTGTGACTTACACTGTTTATGTCAGCATGATTGCCTTAGAAAGACCAGATCTCAGGGAGAAGGTAATGACTGGACCTCTTCTAAGTACTCATACTGTAAGAATCATTCCAGGCATTTCTAAGTTTTCTGAGACTCTAAGTTTATTTCGATTGTTTCAATGCCCAGGTCATTAAAGGAGCAGAGATTCTTGAGGTGTTGCACAGTCTTCCAGCGGTGCGGCAGTATCTGTTTTCTCTCTATGAATGTCGTTACTCCGTTTTCTTCCAGTCCTTAGGTAAGGACAGAATTGTCTGTTTTGATTATCTTCTGATCCTGCATATATCTAACCAAAGCTGGTTTTTACATAGCTTAGGAATGCAGATCTTTGATAAGTGTGGCTAGTCTGTGCAATTTTAATTAGAAGAACATCAGCCAAATGTGGTCTTTTTTTCATATCATCCAGGACGTAAGAATGATTGTTTTTATGTGTTGAACAGATGACAGAGCTTTGTGGCTTATCTAAACATTTATCATTTTCCAGCCCGTTCCCCTCCCCCCCTTACAGTTTTAAAGGGTGTAGAGCAAACCCAAGTAAATGGTTATGAGTGGTAGCTCTATGGGGTAGGTTGTGAGGATATTGTGAGTCTCACTTAGAGTTTGATGCATTCTTTAGTTAATAACTGTGTGTGTGGTTTGGGGGATTTTCAGGGGCTGTGGGGTGAGAGCATCATCTGGGGCAAAGTCTATTTGCAGAGATGTTAGAGACACAAATTTACTTGCCCTCCATTTCTTCCTTGCCATTGGGTTTCCTACTAATAAGCTGTTAGAATTGGCTTTCAGTTTGATCAAGGGGTCTGCCCAAGTGATCTGCCTAACACTTACTAAGGAACTTCCTGTGTAGAGCATGTTGTATTACACTGCAGATTTCACATCATCTTTTAGGTTTTTTTTAACTTCTAAGGATTACTGAACACAGCACAGTGTTTGTACATTGTTGAGGACTCTATGTAAAGGCTATATTTAATTAGTCATGTAAAGGAAGAGATATTAATGCTACAACAGTGATGTCTATGGCAACTTCAAGGAATCAGCTTCTTCCTCCCCTCCTCATCCTAACCAGCAACCTTTTTTTCTAATACTTTGGCTCAGGTTTTCATTTGTTCTGAATCTGTGCATTTCCCAAATGCCTGCAATGCAGGTGTGCCAGTGAGCCTTGTTCCGACTGACGGCAGAGGCACTGCTGCCCACACCCACCTGCACCGCACTGTGAGACAGGACTACGGGGTTTTGTGTGATTATTTGCTGTTTTAGATACTCAGAGACTAATGTGCTTCAAAGTACTTCAACCGGAAAAGGACATATAAATCAAAGACAAACTAAGAAAGTGAAAACTATTGTTTTTGTTATCTACCCTGCCCTCGAATCCATACACATATTTACACAAAAATTCTCCCAGGCAACCACATATATTCACTTATATGCAATTAAAAAAACAAAACAAAACGTGTTTATAGGCTGGGCAAGGTGTCTTACACCTATAATCCCAGCAACAGAAGGCATAAACTGGGAGGACTGGGTTCATAGCTAACTAGAGCAAATAGCTAGGGAGGCCCCATCTCAACAGATTAACTGGATATGGTGGTTTATCTGTAGCCCAGAAACATGTGGGAGATTGTGGTTTGACTTGGCCCCAGGCAAAAATGCTTGGGACTATCTGAAAAACACAGCAAAAGGATAAAAGGGGTATGGCTCAAGTGGTAGTGTCTGCCCAGTAAGTGTGAAGCTCAAATCCCAGCAGTGCCAAAAACATTTTTGAAAAACCAAGCTTATGTACATGTAACCTTTCCTTCTTGTTTGTGTATGGGAACAGAGTTATGAAGCAGAAAAGGCTCTTTGTGAGCACCCATTACAAGTGTCCTGACTTGGGTAACTGCTGTTACCAGAGCTCCAGTGTGTCTTTCAGGGGTATTGGTGTCTGGAGATAAGCACATGTAATAACTACACTTAACATGGTTGTGCTTGGTATACTGCTTCCTAAGTGTAATGTAAAGAATACTTTCACATTGGTGTACAGTTGGCCTTTCACTGAAAGGCTACTCCTGACTCAAAGTGAGTTAGGTTTACATGGCGTCCTGCACTGGAACTGTGAAGGGTGATGTGGGACTCCTCAGAGCTTCCAGTTTACCCCAGGGAAGGACCCGCTTGTACGGTGTATGTGATGTGCCACTCTAGTAAAAGCAAAAAGCAGCCTTTGGAAATATTCCTGCATGGCTGCCTTTCCACCTCTTATTTTCTTAGGCAAAAGAATATAAGACATTGAGTTTTGCAAAGGTAAATAATTTTGACCACCTTTGCCATCTGGAAATAGTGTTATCAGTTTACACTTACACAATTTACAGCTCTCATGTTGGAGCATTTGAACATGTTCTCTCTCAGAGGGGAAACAATTTTATTGGCTTTTTGTATTTTATTATTGGTGAAAATGAGGCCATTGATCCTCATGCTCTACCATGTTCCCTTCAGTTTTGTGCTGTCTTTTCCACAGTAACATGTTTGTCTTCTCTCTACTTCCTCACCCCTTTTTAATTGGCATGGTCACTCACTATCCTGTGTCTGTCTTCATAATGTCATTAAATACATTGGAGGGCAATGATTCTCAAATTCAAGATCTCTAGCTGCATACTTGCATTGAGCACTGGGCTCCTGCCTGAATGTCTCCTTAGCATCTCTGCTTGTCTAATGGGCAAATCCACAGAACAGTGCCTAAGTATGTCCTTTTTCCAAACAGCAACACCTCCTCCCCTCCTCCCAAATCTCCAAACAAAAACCAACCAACATCCTGCCTCTACTCTCCAAGGATTTTCATTTGTTTAGCCCATAAGTACGTTCTTGATTCTTTTTTGTCACCTCCTACATCTGTGTAGCTCTGAACTAAGCAGATAGTTCTGTAGTTTTGGGCTCAGCCATACTATCCTGCCTTAGAACCTGTGTATTTTCCTTACTGTCTCCTGCCCTCTGCCTTAGCCGTCTTTTCAGAAAGGCTCTTCCATCATGGTTCTGTCCTCACCCCCCACCAAGTGGAAGATCTCCATCCTTGTCATTTGTGTTTTGTTCATAGAACTTGGCATTCCCTGGAATTAAGTCTTCATTTCTGCCCTTTGAAACTTTGGTTTCTTTGTCTTTAGGTTCAGTATCTGGAGCAATGTTAATTCTTAACATTGTCTTGTAGTTTATTATTTATCTTTAAACCTTAATGTTTCATTTCTTACAGTAGAATCCACCAGTCTTTGCCTTAATTGGTTTTGTTACTTTTGAAAATGTTTGCTTTATAACCAAGTCTGTCTTTCATTTGTCACGGTACCTATTTCTGTTAAAACTGTAAAAAAAAAAATGCTGTGAACCGAATTTTGCTTGAGGGTACAGAATTCCTCATGGCTAAAATGTTAGTACGTGAACTTGGTCACCTGTGGACAGACTGCTTACGAAGGTCTCTCTTCTGTGGGTGATGCTACAGGGTTGAGATGTTCCCACAGCTGGCCTCTCTACATGGCTGTTGTTCCTTGGATATGGAAGGACAGTGATATTTTCTGCTTCATTGAATCTACCTGTTTCAGTTAGCACCCAATTAGAGTTGCTTTCATTTTTAATCTCTGTGAGAGACTGGTAACTTGTCTTCTTATTTCTCACAGCCGTTGTGGAACAGGAGATGAAAAAAGACTGGCTTTTTGCTCCTCATTACCGATACTATGTAAGAGAAATGAGAATTCATGCATACAGCCAGCTGCTGGAGTCATATAGGTCATTAACCCTAGGCTATATGGCAGAAGCCTTTGGTGTTGGTGTGGAATTCATTGATCAGTAAGTTTAAATTTGTATTTTAATGTTACCTTTAAATGTGTATCTTTCCATTTGTGTTGCTTGACAAACTTGGTCACTACACCATTTACTATTTCTGTTAATTTGTAGACCACACTGTAGCTATGGCGATGACTCTTAGATCTCTGAAGACTATTTTACATTTGGTCCTATTTCCTTCTGGTTTGCTGCTCTAAGTCTGGTTAAATTGGTACCTGTATGTGGGACTTTTTGACACTTAAATCAGAGATTCATCAAATAGCGATCCATTACTATGCTTGTTTTAGGTCCCTGTCTTCATACATTTTTGGCTTAGGAGGGAAATGGCAAATAGCAAACATTAAGAATCATTTCAGCCCTCGGTATAACACCTTTATAATAACAGTAAAAATAATCATTTGAGGAAGCTCTAGTGCTGTGGTGATTTTGGACAAGTCCCCACAATTGGAGCTGGTCTTAGAACAGAAGGCAAGTTTGAGGAGGTCAGGGTGTTCACTAGACGCAGACAAGAAAATGGCAAAGGCTGATGTTGCAGGAGCAGGAAATTCCAGTATGACTGCAGCATAGTCAAAGTGGTGGCTGTCTGGGAGTATTAAGATGCAGTTTGGATGATGTGTGGGGCCTCATAGAGCTGGCTATGGAGTTTGGGATTTAAGCAACATTCCACGAGGCCCTTGGAGAACTCTGAGTTGAGAGAATACTTTGTGTCTTAGAGCAAGAGTCGAGAGAGCAGTTGGGCTGTTCAGTAGCACACAAGAGATGCTATGATGCTTTACTAGTGTATGGCTGACTTTGCTACCAGTTTTCAAGAATGGGTCTTTTGAAAGTGGATGGAGTTTTCACTGGTCTTGAATAGTCTTGATGGCTAAAATGAGGTTCATTCTATTTAAATAAAATTCCCATTTTAGTGTTTTCCTTCTCCCGTTTTGTTGGCATGAAACATGGAAAATTACACGTTGCACAGTGAACTTGAGTATTTTGTTGCCTTTATACCTAGCCATTAAAATTTTTTTTTTCAAAGCGTACCAACACATACTTTACATTATAAAACTTGGTATTAAGTACAGCCGGAACCCCTTACTGAATCATTCCCCCTCATACTTGTTTTTTAAACGATCCTCAACAAAAAGAAGGCTAGTTCTTACATGTCTGAGCAGTGCGTGGTCCATGAGCAGCATGACTGGCCTGGCTTCTTACTCCAGCTGTCACTAGGTAGTGGTATGGTGTGGCCAGGTTTTCTCCCCTCTTCAGTTTCATGTGCTGTGGTGTTTTTATACTACTGATGACAAGTGAATTCAGCTGCTACATTTCAGGTGGTATTGTTTTTCCTGTGTGTTCTAAGACCAGCTCTAATTGTTACCTAGAAAGCCTTGTTTTAAATTCTTGTATTACTTGGGAATGTCTAATAGGAATTTTCCATGGATCTCCATCCCAATTCCTTAGCCTCAATTAAAGATACTGGTTGGAAAGGGAAGAGGGCTGTTTGGTAAAGGTGAATGCTGCTGTGGCTTTGTTCTATCAGTTTCCCCCCCAATGCCTATCCTTATTTTCCTAACTTCTTAAATGTTTTTTTTATTGTAAAAATACTGTAGAGGGGTTACAGTTACATGAGTAAGGTAATGAGTACATTTCCTATTGAGCATTGTTAACACTTTTGTTTTTCCCCTATCATCCCTTCCCTCCCCACCTTCCAACCTCCCCCCCTCCCCCAAGTTGTAAAGTTAGTTTTCAACATAGTGTTCTCATGCACCTCATTGTTTCAATGGGTCAACCTGTATACCTAACTTCTTAAAAGCACTTATCTGTATATCCTGTGGCTCTCAGGGAAAGTCAAGTAGTAATGTATTTGTCTAAAGTTCATCTTGTATTGTACTAAGTGCTCTTCATGAAATTAATGCTGGCTTTCTGTTAGGGAGCTGTCCCGATTCATTGCTGCTGGGAGACTACACTGCAAGATAGATAAAGTGAATGAAATAGTGGAGACAAACAGGTACTGTGACTTGGTGTATTATGTGTTGAACTGTTCTGAATAAGGGCCAGTTCACGTTTTTTTTTTGTTTTATATATATACAAGTAGGGCACCTATTGTTAGAGTGGTTGGCAATTTTGTTTTTCTTTATTTACAGACCTGATAGCAAGAACTGGCAGTACCAAGAAACTATCAAGAAAGGAGACCTGCTTCTAAATAGAGTTCAGAAACTTTCCAGAGTAATTAATATGTAAAACCATTTAATAGAGGATTTCCTTCACAGATAATTAATTTGGATTTTTATAGTTTACTTTGTGCCCAGTGCAACTGTAAAAAATAAATACTTCATTATTGTTTCCTTCAATTTATTTTTTTCCTAAAATGTCTAAACAATAAGACCACTTAAAATGTTCTATCATAGAATATTTAGGCTTAAGATATAATGTGTATGGTGAGACTTTAATAGGAATGGTGACCAAAGCCTTTTTAACCTTCAAGTCTCCTGTCTTCAGAAAAAAAAGTTTATCGGTGTTCCTTGCTTAGTAAAACTTATTATGTGAGATATGAAACTACCCTTTTTAGGAAGCTTAAATAGAACAAGGAGAGAGACAGAGCTGTTGGGCATGACCTCGATTCTACAATATGATTTATTTATATTGGATGACAGTAGGAGTAGTTTCTCCTGGTTGCCCAATCAGATGGGGTAAATGTTATAAAAAGAAAAGACAACTATAGATACAATAAAATAGGCTGGGAACAGGACTCTAGAAAGATGAGTTATCTAGCAGAAAAAAAAGGCAGCAAGTCACCTGAGTTTCACAGAGAGAGATGACCTGGTGTGTGATACCTCTTAAGACATGTCATTGTGCACCAGGTGACAGGCATACGGGTTGTACAGGCTGCTAAAAGATTAGGATGAGCTCATTTTTTCTTTGTAGATTAATTTGTGCTCATTACAAAGGGAATTCAGTTATAGTGGGATTGCTTTGAAATTACACCCTGTAGACCATATGAAGGAAGGGTTTGATGCAAAGTCATCATTTTGATAAATACTCTGTGTGAATACATATATATTACAACAATTATTCTGAATCACAGTTTCTAAATTGCAAATCCCAGGGCATATTGCTAAGCCTCAAAGTATCAGCTTGAAGGTGAAAAGAAGATTAGAATCATCTGCATAAGGCCACAAGGTATTAGCTCCATTGGAGCCAGTCCTAGCTACACATTACTTCACCTCTGAGTCTACTCCCTTGTATAAGATGGGCTATAAACCATAAAGCATGGTTTAATCCAGTTATATGAATAAAGATGTTAAAGCTTTACATCACTTTAAGTGATGTAAAACATTTTTGTATAGCATCACACTCAACTTATACCTGAACAACATGGTTAAGTAGATGCCTACAATTTGACCCACGAGTAGTACAGATTGCAATATGCTTAAGATTGATTCAGTGGCCAAACCCATTGTCTTTAGTAACCTAACGAAACAGTCCATCATGTTAAAGATCATTAACAAAATTTGATAATTTCACATTATTTTGAATTAGTCCTTGGCACTGTTTTTTTTTTTTGTAAGGAGAATCTGCCCCTACAGTTAGGGTATAAAAAATGAGCAGACTGGGCTAGGAAGATGGCTCAGTGGTAGAGTGCTTGCCTTGCATGCATGAGGCCCTGGGTTCGATTCCTCAGCACCACATAAGCAGAAAAAGCCAGAAGTGGTGCTGTGGCTCAAGTGGTAGAGTGCTAGCCCTGAGCTGAATTGCTGAGGAACAGTGCCCACGCTCAGAATTTAGGCCCCACGACCAACCAAAAAACGTTTAGAAAAAAGCAGATGGTATAATCTCCTGCTTTGTGAACACTACATAAACCTGAGTTTTGACTAACTTCATACTGATATAATGATTAGGAATTGGGTTCTAGCAAAAACGAAGAAGTTCTATTACCCACTAGTTTTAATTTTCCAACCCACAGACTGATTTGTTTCTAAAGACATGCAAAGTACATTAAGAACTTGTACTCTGCTCCTACCATTGTAGTCCGTAAGTATATGCTCAAGTGCCTATCAAGCAGAAGCCTTTGAGTTCAACCCCAGAGCTGCCAAAACAGCAACAAGAAAGCAATCTCTTCTGTGGTAGTTTCTCTTACACAGACTGAGTTAAGGAATACACGGAGCCTTGAAGTAACTACTTATCAGCTTTTCATCCTGTCCTTAGGGGACTGCTTCTCTGGGTCAGGACTGCCAGTAGAAGGTGTCCTGACAACTTTAAATCTTGCCTTTTGGAGGTAACTTGCCCAAAGTTTAACCAGTGTCTTATCAATGCTGCTAAACTAAATTTGACTATTATTTTTATTTGGTGCTGGTTCTGGGGCTTGAACTTGGTCTGGCCACTGTCCCTGAGCTTTTGTTTTTTTTTAGAGCCACAGTTAATTGGACAAAAGCTTCACTGACTTTCCTGCCAGGCTGACTTCAGATCTCAGATCCTCAGATCTCAGCCTCCTGAGTAGCTAGGACTGCAGGGGTGAGCCACCAGCACTTGGTGGGCACTTGATTTGAGGATTCACTCAGCTTTCCTTGAATCTCTCTGGCTAATCATTCACACATACATACCTCAGAAACTTGGGTCAAGATGAAGTCTGCTGTTTGCTAGTCCCCTGCCACTGTTTCCTCTCTCATCAAATGCCTTCTCTGTGAACCTGCTTACCACTCAGCCCAGTCATGGTGCCCCGGATCCTGAGTAGCTGGCTCAGACTTCTTCCTAACCCTAAGTACTTTGAAAGAGACAAATTCTACCCAGTGTCACAGATCCTAAGCCTTCACTGTAATGCTCTTTCCTGCATGCCACTTGAATCCACTGCCATGGTTTCATCTAGGCATCACTAGCATCTGAACCGATCTACTTTTGGAAGAAAAACTAGAAATTACACATGAATCCTTGTACCCTATTCTCTCCACTGGTCTCTTCCAAAATAGGAATACTCCCTTGACACTTGACCCTGCCTTCTAAGTTCCTTTACAATTTAACTGGTGCCTTGAGAATGCCTGTCTTAGTAGCTTTCCACTTTTTTTCCTTCAATACCAAGCCAGACCATCATTAGTCACACTAAGTTCTAACTTTCTCACCCAACCCGCACTATTTGTTCCTATTGTGCTGGAGAAAAGAACCCTACCTAATAACAATAGTGTACTCTCCAACCCCACTACAGACCCCCAGTACTTCACTCCAGTGTTGCTTCTTCACCAGTTGGCTCCCTGGTAGGACGCCATCCTATGCTGGTCTCCCCTCCGTGGGCCACAGATGATAGACAGGCTTTTGAATTTTGTGAAATCCTAGAAATTATTAAATGTAATGTTTGTGTCTGTCAGATCAGGGTAATTTCTTTCATGCAGTCTTCAAGTACATGACCAAAACCAAAACCAATACTGCTTCGACAATATGAAATTCAGTCTTATGCTGCAACCTGCTACTTGGGAGACCTGAGGTGAGATGCTGTCTTAAAAGGTCCTCCGTATACTAAAATATCTGCTTTCTAAAACCTTAGTGAGAGAGCATGCATACATAAAGTGATTGGGTATAGTATCTGGTGTACTAAGGACTACAAATACAGTTTATAGTTTACATATTTACACAACGTAAGCATTTACATATTTATGAAATAGTTTAAATATAAATGTGATCGTTTACATATTTACATAATAAATCTAAGAGCTACCTATTTTTCCCAGATAAGCTCATCCAGCTGTGACTTCATTTGCCATTCCAAAGTGAAAGAACATTTCCATTTTACATCTCACAACTGCTAGCTATGCTCCATCTACTCTGTAGGCAACAGGGTACAAATCTCAATTTCACCTTCAATTTTTTTTGGTTGGTCTGGGGCTGGGCACTGTCCCTCAGCTCTTCAGCTCAAGGCTAGTGCTCTACCACTTGAGCCACAGTGCCATTTCTGGCTTTTTACTGCTTATGTGGGCCTCATGCATGCAAGGCAAGCATTTTACTACTAAGCCACCTTCCCAACCCCTCACCTTCAATTTTTTGTTGTATCTTATTCCTTCTTTGTTGCCCTATCACATAATTCATTTTAACTCATCAATTGTTTTGGCAAAGGAGATGTGAACTATTATACTTTTCTCTTTAATGTCTAACAGACTTGAGTTCTCTAGAGGCTAAAGATGTATTTCAGTAGTAAAGTGCTTACTTTCCTGGGTTCCATCCCTAGTACTGAAAAAAAAAAAGTTGTAGAGTCAGTCCTCCTATTCCCCATGAATATAGCCTTGGCTTGTAAACTCAATAGTTCGCATCTGGATTATAAAGACAGTTTTGTGAATAATTTTGTCCCAAAGTTCTCACCTCTCCATTGTCTTCCATAATTGTTGGAGGGCACTAAGTGATGGAGAATTTTAGGGAAAGTATTAAATTGGAAGTGCTTAATTTCCTATGTCCCCAAGGAATTCTCACTCTTTTCTACACCTCTTAAAAGAAAGTCCACTAGTGCCAGTTTTGGCCCATGAGCTTAAGGTACAGAAATGAGAGGATTATAAAGTGAAAGATCAGGACAAACAGAAGACAGAAGAGAAAGTGGTTAAGAACACAGGATAAGCTTTGATTTAAGGGACAGCTTTTTGGTTAAGGCTTGATGGGGTGTGGTAATGGCACTGAAACAAGTGAATATGCAAGAGTCAGGAAGATAAAATTTCAGTGCCTTTGATTTTTTATGGTCTCCAGTAGAGAGCTGAATGGCTTTTACTTTTGGTAGCTACACAGTGCTGGGACTGGACTATGCAGTTTCTCTGAGAATAGCATGTGGGTTTTCTATGAACTCACATATTTCTAAGGATGCAGGCCCCATGACAATCCATCAGACCATCACCTATCAGTCCCTCCTGTGCAGCAATTTCATACAGATTTCTTACATTTCTCCCTACCTTCACCCTGTTTGCCCCTCTGCCCAGAAGGTCTTACCCTGCCTTTCTGCCAGTGAAATCCCAATGAAGGTCCAACAATGCCAAATCTCTTTCCTTGACTTGAGATGGTCTTGCTATCCAGGGCCAGGTAGTCTCTAAAGGAATAAAGTAAAAAGGGAAAAATACTAAGTGGTTGGTCCTTTTCCTGGAAGGCCTGAGGACACTTACAGTGGCAGGATTTGTCCATAAGGGGCTTCTTATGATTGCACTGAGTCACTGGGAATGGGAAGCCCATGAGGCAGTGGGTGCTGTTGCTAGCCTAGCTCCTTGATATAAGTAGTGGACCTTTCTTCTTTAGTACGTGAAAGTTTATCCTCTTATTAGAAGGGTTTATTTGCAAATGGACAGTGCCCTCACACTAAAATGCATTCATATACCCGGTAAAGGAGGTATGTAAAAGCAAGGAAGAAATCAGATCAGTTTAGATAAAGTTAACCACAACTGGTGGGTGATAGGAACAGACAAATCCAAGAGACTCCTATCTCCAATTAACAAGCAAAAAGCTGGAACTGAAGGTGTGGCTCATGTGGTAGAAAAGCCAAGGAAGAGTTTGAGGCACTGAGCTCAAGCATCCAGTACCAGCCCCAATTGCTCCATGAAACTTGAATAGAGGCAACATTACAAAGAATGTGTTTTTAGCTATCAATACCCCATTGTTCTTCCAAACCTGCAGGGGTCTCAATACTGAAGTGTCCACTGTTTATACAGGCAACCGACTTATCCAAGCCATAGCTCTGTGCCCAAGCATGGAAACATCCTAAGACCTCAGAGGTATCTGGCTTGTACTAGAGGAAGGCTGATGTACAGGTGCTTGCCAAGAGTGTCTGATGTAAAGAATGCAGCAAAACTGAAGGGGTTTAGTAGAATGAGGCAGAAACATGTGCAATAGTTCATGCAGCCAACCTTATTTATTGAGAAGTCCTAATTTTATTGCCTGTTTAGTAACATATTTGTTCCACAAACTAATTTCTCATAAAGCAGAACACAACTTTTTTCTTATAAATAGTATAAATTATTTTATTTACAGAAACTTGTTACAAAACAAATAGACTATATATTTCTTCTCTTTTAAATATCCAAAGTAATTTTCTATCCCTTGACATTTGTTCATGTTCTATACAGCAGCCAACACAAAGTCCAGCTGAGATGCTCTTGATTATGGGTACACATTGTCCGACTATTCACACATTTTAACACAGGAGATTGCTTTTATAACCAAGTTAAAAAAAACTGCTTTCAAGGCCCTACATTCACACTGACAGTATGTAGTGCTCACTTAAAATCATCTGGAAATGTAAAATTTTTGCACAAAGTGTAAAAATGATTATTTTCTTTTAAACCATGAAACTTTGAGCAATCATTTTTCAAAGCCCAACTTTCCCCCAACCCAGGACAGAATGAGAGACATGAAGAAACTCCTTGGCAACAGAACTCTTGCAGGAAGGCAGCTGCCATTTTAAGTTAGGTTTCTCAAATTATACATTTTTTTTCAATGTTCTCAGAGGTACTTCTTTGTATTATATTTTTGTAATACAAAATACTTTAAATATTCTACTTTAAACTCTCTTATTTCATGAGTGAGTGACAAAACGGACATGGCATGTACATTGCTGGCTGACAGATTTTAACTCTTGGTGCCACTGGCAAATCCATCACCAGTGAAATTACTGTGAACCCAAAGGTCTTAAATGTAAAATACCTTATAAAATTTACCAGCATTGGTTGTTTTTAACTCCTCCCCTAAGATTTTACAAAACAATAAGTAGGTGGAAAAAGCAAACTCCAAAAGTTCAACTGAACATTCAAGTCTTTTTTAAAGAGAATCTGTCTAAGCTTTAAAGTTAGGTTCAGGCACTTTCAGTTTTTCCATTAGTTTTAAACCACATCACATACATAACAAAAGTGTGCTCAGAGTGTACACACACACAGGCACGCACCCACACATACACACACACACTCGCACATAAAACACTAATGAGAGAAAAGCAGTGTGTCACTTAGTCACATGTGGTCTACTGGGAAATCAGGCAACCGAGGAGAAGCAATGCCCACTTCGTCTGTGTGAATCCACTCTTGAGACACTAAAAGGAACAAAGACTTTCACAGAACAGAGGCAATCCTTCCACTGTAAAGGAGGCAGGTTCTACAACTATTGGCTTGGCAGTGAACCACTTCAAATTATAAAAAGGTATTTACTTTTATTAATTAATAAATAAATACTAGATGATCTCAATTGTACCAAAACAGGATATCAGAAAAAAAGACCTGTGCAAAAATACATATTTAAATATGTACAATTCATTTTTAACAAAATATGTCTTCTGAAATAGGGCTACTTCCATATTTATAATAGAACAAGAAATCCCAAAATAAAGGTACAAAAGTAGGTTTCGTATAATTCTTTGTTCATCATTGCAGCACTTTTTTTGTACGTTAAGAAAACTGCAGAAGTTGTCATGAAATTCTACTGGAAGGAATATAAAAATTATCTTGGTTTTAAATTGATACCAAAGTCTGTCTAAGAAACAACCCAACCACTGCAAATTTGGTTTTTGCAAGTTAATTCAATTCAAAAAAATACTTTTACTCCTGTGTTTTAAATGGTCTTAATTGTTCATCATAATAAAAAGTAGTTGTTGGAGAAAATAAAACATTTGAACAGTCTAAAGTTTAATAGCACTGTTTGGAATAGGTCTGTTTGTGGCAGGCAAAATCCAAAATGGCTAATTTCCTAATCCCAACGCTCTATGTATTACCAGGAGACATAATGAAATTCACTTAAAACTTCAGTCTAAAAAACAAAAAATCAATGAACACTCACTAATCTAAATATCTACATTAATCTGAATCAACTTGCTATTGTGGATCAGAAAACTTGATCTGTCTATTCATTCCATCACTAAAAGCAACTTAATTTATAACCATCAAAGTCCCCTTGGCTCTGAAAATAAATTCTACCCATACCCCATTGCACTTGTACCAAGGAATCAACTAGATACATCCTGATTCCCTCTTATCTCTTCTCCCCCATAAGTGGGATGGAACACCCAGACCGATTTCCTTTGCCTATACCTAACTGGCCCATCCACACTCTCTCCTTACTAGCTCTCCTATAGTATCATTTAAAAACACATTTACTGATTGATTGCATAAAATTGAACAAGATATTGTTCTCCCCTCCTTCCTTAAAAAATCAGTATTTTACATCAATTTATAGTTAAAGTATCTGCATAAAGTCTTTGTTTTATTACATAATAAGAATAATTCTGTAGCAATTCACATTTATTAGGCTGGTAACCAAATATTTATTCATTCTACAGGTTTTGACTTGAAATTCCCTGAAACTGAAGTTTGTAACCAAGAACTATGGGGATAAAAGGACACACTGACTGGCTCTGAGTAGGCCCTACCCAATGCACTGATCAGAATGGTGGGATTTACCCTGCATTGGGCTAGGCTACTCTGTGTGAACACTCTCCTAATCCAGAGGCCTGATCCTTGGTTCAGGAGCAGGAGTGGTGGGATGGTCCATTAAGAGGCCCCAGATCATTCCCCAAATTCAATCATACCTTCTCAAAAATGCTGCTTTAACTTATTACATTTTCATTTGGGGTGAAGCACTGCAATCACTATCTTAGAGGCTCTAAAACTCTCTTAAACACAAGAGGGAGTGTGTTGGGAAACACTCTGTAAGCCTCACACAAAGCCTCCACACAAACGTGTACCTACACTCCAGCTTCTCCCATTAAGGTCTGCTTCCCACTCCACCTGCATCTAAATGCATATCTGCAGTAGCCAGAAGGGAAGTGGGGGCACACATACTGCCCAGAGCACAGGAAGCAGATACTTACACTAAGTCCTAGGACAGTATCCAGAGAGGAAAATAGGGGTAATACCTTAGAAATATTTAAGTATCCTAGCAGTTTTATTTTAAAAAGACAAATCTTAAAAAATAAAATTGGGCAGGACAATCAACCCAATCTGATATACTGTTTTACATGAAAATAAATGGTAAGACAATTCCACTTCTTTGGAAATCTTGGAAAATTTTTTCCCCCCTTCATTGTGATTTTAACCCCCACCCCCATCCACCTGCCTCATTTTGGCTTTCCATCATCAAAAGTAGTTTAAATTATTTTTGCTTTTTTCTTTTACATGGGATTGGTTTTGTACCATGAAAAGTAAGCCTCCAATATGGCTGATACCCGCTAACCCAGCATCAATGGCTACAAACCAGTAAGTTGGAAGCTTTTGATAGTGTCTTATCTCAAATTATTTGCAAAAGGCTGGCCTATCTTGTCATGTGACCTTGAGTCAATACCCACATTCTACTTCTGGAACACTGCTATAAAAGCCTTTAGAAAGCTGCTTAGGATGCAGCTCCCTTTCCTCTGGAAGGTCTCCAGTTAAGGTGCTGGAGAATGACCTACAGAAGACAGTGTGAAAAAAGGAAATGGGGGAGAGTGGGAGGAGGAAGGGAGAGAGAATGAGAAAAGAAACTGGCAAGGAGATGGAGGAGAGAGAAAAGTTGACATTAACGCTCTTGTCAAACAATCTTTTGCCTGGCCAGTCTACTTAAGAGTAGTTCCATGATATAACAAGTTAAAAAAAATAAACAAGAACAAAAACTTCTCACAGATTGGTAGCAAGCAGTCCAGACCACTTTAACACTGATAAAAGCAATCTGGTGGCTGAACTTGATCCAGTGTCCTTTATGAGTACTCACTGCTACAGACATAGCTTCGGGGAAATCCTCAAAACAACAGCCCAGCGATTACCCTGGAGGCCCAAGGAGGTTGTGAAAAGAGACTCAAAGGCATCGTGGAGTCCAGAGTGCTGAGCGGAGGTGTAACTTGTCCTCAAAAGTGTCCGGATTATTTCTCCCCGTGCTGTTTTCAGCTGTCAGGGACGTGCCTTTGGCTTTTAAAAGAGAGGGATAGGGAAACAATGAAGAGGTAAGTAAGCAGCTGTATACAGGATATTCTGAAGAATATCCCTATGACCACACACAATAAGGATCCACTGATGGGATCAGGCTGGAGACAATCAACTACAGAACTGGCTTTAGTTTTCAAAAACCCTCACTTGCCAGGAGTACAATCAATCTAAAGATTTGCTTTCACAACCTGGCAAGCATGCAGGCATGTGTTTCTAGCTTAGAGAAAAAGCTCTCAATGTTTGCTTTTTCATTTGATTTTCTGCTTTTGTGTCCTTGAAGGAACTCCAGGTGGTTAACTGAAAACAAGGTTAGCTGGACTAGCATACACAGGTGTGCCAGTTCACACCCAAGGTGGTGTGTCCATGGCAGAGAGAGGGAACTCGAGCTTCACAGGTTATATTATATATTAAGTCCTTGAGGCCATGACAGACTCTTAGAGGTGTCTAACCCGCCCCATCTTTTGGACTTCCCAGTATACACCAACCTTCATTTCGTTGTGGGAAAATTTTAACCAGCACTATTTTGAAACCTATTCCACAAGAACAGGCAAGTGAAGTCTTACTTTTCTAGGAGCAGCATACTTAAAGCATTTTGGGGTCTCACCACTAACTGAACACAGAAATAAGAATGGACAATACTTTTTGGGGCCCGCTCGTCTGATTTCTAGCCATACACCTCATAAAGACTGGTGCAGTAGAAAAAAAACTATTTTGAACAGAGGAAATCATTCTCAAAACACAAACAGATTGAGACTGATTCCAAGGAAAAGTATTCAAAGTTAAGACTGCCTAAGCAGTCTGTTGACATAGACCTCTCAGAGAGTAAAAATCATAGGTGGCAAACTAGCATGTCATAAGCCCACATATGTGGACTAGATAAAATTATTTTTGTAGTGGTCAAATGTCACATGCAAGTCTAGATCTGCAGTTTCTGGGGCAGCTGCTCCAAGTAGGTGGTATACTCCCCACCCACCACCAGTATTCCAGGCACTGTTACTTGTTCCCTCATCTGTCCTTTTTGTTAGTTGTGGGCATTAAGATCTACAGACCTTGTGCACATGCAAGGTGATTAGTACAGCACTTCCTGCAGGGCCCAGGGCTCAGCAAGACACTTATTCAGAGAAGTTTTTAAGGGGTGGGTATAGAACTTCTTGCTGTTACCTTACCAATGCTTACCATAAACAGTAATGGGTAACTACAAGCAAGAATTAAAAGCAAAATTTTGTTTTCTGAACCCCTCCCCACCATGCAAAAAAAGCCAAACAACATGTTAGTTGCCCAAAATTCAAGCAGCTGCTTAAATTCAGATACTACTTTCATATCTTTGGCATTGTAAACTCATACAAATACTGGGAGGAAATTATATTACATTAGGAAACACCATGGTAATTTATGAAAAAAAAATTACCTAGCCTAGCATTTCAGTTTCTCAGGTGGGGAAGTGGGAAAAACATTAAAAAAGAGCCTCACATTTTAAGTCAGGGCTCTGGGGTGCTGCTGCTGAAATTCCTGTTCGTAAGCAAGGTGAGGAGATATCCTGATGAATGAAATAACAAGACGAGAGATGAGCTGAAGTTAGAGCAAAGGGAGCTGGAAGAAACACAGCTACTGGAGAGGCGGTCAGGAGAAACCAGCAACAGCAGGAGGTGGGAGGAAGACAAAGGTACGGCATAAGAAAGTCATGTTAACTGTGAATCCCACACCCACTTAGCCACCTACTACTAATGAACCCACAATCCGATTTCTCTTTAACTCTTTGAACGTGAACTGAGATTTTTTGTTCCTCACCTCTACCCATCCCAAGTTGTTTTCCATCCTTCCTCAGAGAGGAGAAAATAGAAGGTAAAATAAAATCAGAATATCTGAAATTGCTCAAGATAAAAATCACAAGCTCTTTCTCCTCAAGTTTTAAATCATCCCTTTCCAGATGAGTTTTGTTCCAGCCCAGTTTTCTGCAGAGGAACCCTCTGGAGAAGGTTATGTCACCTGCTTCCTTCCCTAACAGTACTGAGACACTAGCTGGCTGCATCTGCAAAGACACTCACTCCCTTCCACTGCTGTCCCCCAGGAAGCCTTTCTCAGCCCTACATGCTAATTGAAGACTGGCTTCCTCTACTCAGGAACATCATTGAAAGACATCTGAATTCTGTAGAGAGGAGCCTATTTTACCCTTACACATTCCTTAAAAGAAACAAACACACAAACAAAAAAAACTGGAAGCTGGGCAAATCGACCACACAAATTTCTGAGCTGGTAAAAAGATACCAAGGGAGAGGCAACAGACACTGTGGGGGGATTCAGAGTCCCAGTCCTACCTGATGAAGGAGGGAACTGTTCGTCAGTCCTTGTGCTCCGGGGATGGTGCCTGTGTGTTTCATGTGGACGTTGTTCGTGGCTGGCAATTTGGCAACCTTTGTGGGTTTGCTGCTGCTGTTGTTGATGCTGCTGGAGCCAGGAGAGCACTTTCTTTTCTTTCCTATGAGTTTCTCTAGAGGAGTGTGTGAGTGTGAAAAATTGCCATGGGAGTTGATAGGCAGTTCGTTAGACTGGTGAATGAATGGGCCAAGAGAAAGAGTGGAGTCACTGCTGTTCACCACCACACTCATCCTCTTGATGGACTCTGCGGGGCTCCCACCTGGGGGGCCCCTCCCTGACGGTTCATGCCGGAAGCTCACAGAGTGCGTTTTATTTGTCACACAGTTGAGGCCAATGCTATGGGAAGATGCCACCATTGATGGGTAGGGAGGCCCGGTATGAGTCACACAGTTTTTCCTAAAAGACTCCATGGAATGAGAAGAAGAGGAAGAGGAGGAAGAGGAGGAAGAGTGAACTGATAGTGGGGAACTGGTTTTGCGTTTCTTTCCTGAGCCGCCACTGGTACTGCTGCTGGCGTTGTGACAGTTAGTGCTGTTACCAGAAGACTCCTTGGGCCTTAAAGACTTGCTGGACTTCAATTTCTGAGGTTTCCTGGCCATAGGGGAGGAGGGGACTGAGGAGAGGCCAGAGGGTGTGGAGGGGGAAGAGGATGAAGAGGACACTTGTTTGGATTGCATACTGCACACAGGATCCATTGCCCCAGAAATGGCAGGCTGTGCATTTAGTGTGGTTCCATGAGCTGGTACCAATTTGCTATTTGGAGAGATGTAGGTGGATGAGAGCAGAACTGGGGATGTAGAGACGGAGGCTGCTGAAAGACTGCTGATCCCACCTTGTGATGTCGGCACAGAGTTTGTCCGGTGAGGAATGCGTGCACAGATGGGTGACGTAGTACTGGGCACTGGGGGGATTTTCCTGGAAAAAGGAGAGGATAGTGAGTGCTATTCACCGTAGCTGTTCATGATAGTTGTAGAGGAATGCACCCTGATAACCACGCTCCTTTCAGAGTGATCACTCTGAAATCCTAAATCAGTCCTGCTTTCTTCCTTCTGATTCTTTACTCTTTTTTCCTGTGAAACTGAAGCATGTGTGCCTTACCCTTACAACTATCACAACTTTGCATCTCCACTTCCATCCCCAGCTATGGATCTTCCTTGAATTCCAAGAACGTGCCATGATGTAACACCCTATATAATCTCTGCTCTCACCACTCTTAGGCCCAGTTTCTGCTCCGTTTCAGCTCAGCACCACTTCCTTAGGAAATCTGTTCTGCCCATCGGGACAGAGCAGCTCTTCAGACTCAGAGTGCGCCATACCTTGACTTCGTAAGGCTTGAGGTGGTTTTACTGTGTGAGTACAACTCTTTGGCTCCTTTGGACATGTTTGCAATTCACGACTTATCTACCGTTAGAGTCCCAGTACCTAGAATTCTGAACGCACTTGATAAACTTTGAGGAAACTCAAGAATGAATAAGCTACTAGTAACTGGAAGGTTGTAATTATCAGCCTTAACATGCAGTAATTCTCATAATGATTGGTAATGTACTTATTGGGAAGTTAAGAGTTCCATTCACACAATCAAACCAGGGATCCTCCTCTATTGTAGCTCAATTTAATGGTGACACCACCAATTTTTCCAATAAAATGAAAATGGAATTAAAACTGAAGCAATACACAGGCACAGTGGCTCAAGCCTGTAATTCCAGCACTGGGAGGCTGAGGCAAGAAGAATGATACATTTAGGGACAGCCTAGGCCACACAGTGAGTTTGGGATAAGCATGTTCCAGTTTAAGCTACATGGAAAATTCCAAGCAAGTCTATAGTACAAGACCATTTCTCACAAAGGCTGAGGTAATAGAAAAAAAAGTCCTGACTGCCACACTCTCACTTGGCTGACAGAATCATAACTCCTGCACAGGCAGAGAGAGGAGGAAGAGGAGGGGGGCAGGGGGAAGGAGAGATAAGGGGGAAAGAGGGAGGAGAGGGAAAAGGGGGGAAAACGAGAGAGGGGGGAGAGAGGGGCAGGGGAAGAAAAGGGGAGAAGGGAGGGGGGGGGGGAGACAGAGATAGCGACAGAGAGAGCTTTAACTGCTGCCAGAGTGCTTTCCAGGTGCCTTTTAGGAAGATCACTGATAGTACATGGAATTAATGTGGGCAAGTGCTTGTAACCTCTCTTAAAAGCACACTATGAGGGCAGTCTTACCCCTCCCCTCTGCGCCCATGACAGTCACCTGTGAAGCTTGCAAGCACCAGCACCAATTATATCAGTTTATGGGAAAGGGTGGACAAACACTAGTAATTTGTTTATTCTCATATTCTCTCTCTTGCTCCCTTCCTCTTTTTCCCCCCACCCTACTGGTTTAACTCCCTCTGTTTTAACTCAGAGACTTCTACTTGCTAGGCAAACACTCTACCATTTATGCCACATACTCAGACTTGTTCATTATTTTTTTGCTTTGTATTTTTCAAGTGGAGTCTTTTGTATTTATCAGGAGCTGACGTTAGACCATGATCTCCCCAACTAAGGCCTCCCATGTAGTTGGAATCATAGATACATATCACCACATCCTGTTTATTGACTAATGGGGCCTCATAAACTTTTCTACCTGGATAGGCCATAAACTGTGATTCTTCACCTGGCCAAATACTCTAAATTTCTCCAGGAGATTCTAATGTACAAAGCTGAGCTCTGTATCTCTGTGCCACTCAAAGAGCAGGACAAGAACTGTTATTACCTGAGAAGTTTGTTAGAAATGAGAGTTCTATGGCCTGACCCACATAACCCCATGTCTCTCTTAGCAAGGCCATCTAGGTGATTGGGGCCAGCACAAGTTGCTCATTGGGTGTAGTGGTTTCTTGAGGCCACCAGGTGGCGCATGTAACTGGGGCTAAGAAATCCCAGGGGAAAGGAATAGGCTTCAATACAAGGAAAAGATATCGCTCTTTCACAGACAGGTGCTATTTCCTCCTTAAAAAGCTCTTTTCACATAATTTATTACCTTTTTTAGTAGGAGGGAGCAAAAGAATATGCAGTCATAATGGCTTGTGTTTGCACAAATAAAATATATAGAGTCATACAATAAACTAAAACAGTTTTGCCTGAGAAGGGTAGGGAACAGAGACTGAGGCGTTTCAATATATGCTTCCTTTATTCAATTTTTTTGGTATTACCAATTCAAACAGATAAACAAACAAACAAGCAAAAAACACTGGTAACATCCCAGACCTTCTCAGGGATATGGAATTGGTCCTGATCAACAGGGCAAGTAGTTTCCAGAAGTGACAGGAACTGGGCCACTGCTATGCTTCTGAGCAAGGGCTGGTCTCATTCTACCATTGTTCAAAAGAATCACAAGCTGAAGATGACATTTCAGATTCAAATCCCACCTCAACTCACCCCTACATTTACCACCATAAGGGAAAGGAAACGTGTTACCCCAACAGGACTCTTCCACAAAGGAATAGGGTTTGGCTAACCCAATAGGATACAACCTGGGCCATTGGAGGCATGGAAGAGGCCACCTGAGAACAGTTCTCTGGGTGAGAAGTGCTGAACTCTACCAGCCAATCCCAAGGGTTGCTTGGAAAGGCTGCCCAGAAATAACAGTATCTGTATCAGGGAGCATTTCTATAGCACCTGGAGTTGGACCCTCATTCCATGTTCCTGGGAACTCTCCTGGGAGCTCGCTCATTGCTCAGATGTATGTTCATACAGCTGTACTAACGTTTGTAAGACCGAAGAATTTCTTCCTCAGAGCGTGTGATAAATAAAGCCAGTTCCTTGAGCAGATACTGACAGAGTAGAGGGCAAGCAAGCAAACAAATAAAAAAAATCCTATCACAATTCTGCTTTTGAAAATGGTGATGGCACAGGGGGAAGATCTCTCCAATGGGAAGCACATTTGGAGGGCCCTCCTAAACCCACGGTTTGGTAGGATCCATGGAGCTCTCCAAGACCCAGCAGGCTGTCTGAAGAAATGATAAGCTCAACTTCAGGTATCTTGGAGGTGCTGTGATGTGGAGAGATCCCCAGGATTCCAAACAAACCCACTGCTTTTTTTTTTTTTTTCTGGGCAGGGGCAATGGTTCTTCATAAAGGAGAGCCTTTTATGCAGGAAGAACCAGGAAGAAATGGAAAAGAGAAAGGCAGAGCAACACAGCTAGGAAGGCAAGGATTTGCTCCCTCCGTGATTAAAAGCAGATTGTGTCAATGGTCTTATAATGTGATTTTCAAAGGCAGAAGTGTTTCTTCTAACTTTACTAGGAAACCAAACTAGGGGAGAAAATGAGATACATTAATATAGTTCATATGAATAGGACAGAAGTTAGTCATGGCTGCAGGGCATATTTGGAATGACCTGCCTGGGAATGATTCAAACACCAGATGAGGAGAAAATCCTCCTTTCAAAAAATGTTCCCAGGTCAATAGAGCTTGAAGATCTTCCCCATTACACACGACATCTCTTACTCTTGACTGTTAGAAAACAGAGTGCCTGTCACACACTCTGAGAAGTCCTGCAGAGATGAAAAGAAGCTTACTTAAGGTTGACTTCAACTCGCCATAGAACCTTTCCTATATTTCAAAATCCTATCTGGGAAACACTACCATACACCTGTAAGGCCATATAAGCAATAGCTCAGGGATAGAATACTTACCTAGCAATCATTTGCAAAGCCCTGAGTTTCATCCCAATGCCAACAAAATAAAACAAGATGCAAATCAGAACACATAGATCTTCTCCTCTCCTTCAAATCTTCAACAGCTTCTGAGCCTCTGCGAGGCACTTCCAGTGTTAGTGTTACTTAGCTCTTGCCTCTCTCTCAGCCTTAGTCTTGAACTAGCTCACTTTCTTGTGTTTCTCAAATACTCCACTTCAGACTCAAGACCTCTGCATGTCTGGTTACTTCTGTTTGGACTTCACTACTCTTAATGTCCCAGGAGCTGCTATTTCTGCCCTATTCATCTCAGGTCCAGGGTTACAACCTAGAGATTTCCTTGAATACCCTGAACTCTTACTTTCATATCTTAGCTTTATTTGGAAACAGACTGCTCCAGAAAGAACCCCTGACCTTACCACTAACCTTGTGTTTTAGCTTTTACTAAGTGGGGACAGTCAAGGTCATATGACCAAATTGTGAAAATTAATCTGTACAGTAAATTCCTGGCACCCAGCAAACTCAGTGTTATTATCTCTAGTATCTCCCTGTTGACAAGCTTTTGACTTGGTAGTATCTCCCTGTTGACAAGCTTTTGATTTGGTTTTCATCTCCCTTGACTCTCAACTAGACTTTAAGCTTTCTATATGTGAGCATCCTTTTAATAGGAGTTCCAGGACACAGAACGAGATGTAGTTGCTGAATGGATGACTACATTATCAGGACTAGTCAGAGGCCACATATTCATGTGGCTATAGCCCTTTTCTTAAAATCAGTTCTGGAGGTCACCAAAAAAAGAGTACTCAACAGATTGAGTAAGGGAAGCTCTCCCCTCACCCACAGGCACTCACTTCCATAGCTGTGCATTCAGATGCTTCTCCACCATGAGGTTGAGAGCACAGCGAAGCCGGTTCCACCTGGAGTCAAACACGTAATAGCCTCTTCCAATCTGCCGGCTCCCAAATGTGCAAAACTGAAAGACAGAACATAGCACACATGCTTGCCACCCCCAACACCAGCATAAGGGGAGGGCTTATTCTGTGTCAAGAAATTAGATATTCAGGAAAGACAGAGCTAACTCTAGATCCCAGAAGAAGTGAAGTATGAGTGTGACAATGCCTGATCTTGACTTCTGTGGAAGAGTACAAAACTTCCACAGGTAGATTTTTGCATGCTATCTCTGGGGTCCCTTTTCTGAGCTACTCTCATACCTTGACCACATCCCACATGTACAGGTGTGCCAAGGTCCCTGGCTGGTCCCCCCTGCAATACTCTGTCCATGCTGTGTGAGGAGGATCAGCATAGGAATGGATGTGGAACTTACAGATGCTGGCTGAGGATGATGACCTGAATAATGACAGTCCAGTTTTTCAATAGACTCTTCTTTGTCATCGCCTTCGCCCTCCTCACTGGATAACCGAGAAGTTGGCTCAGTGGCAGGCAGGGGAGGGTGTGGAGATTCATGGGCTGGAGGAGGGTCAATGGGGGCACTCCCACCTTGCTGAGCAGGGCAGCCTGGAGGCCTTGGTGAGTAGAAAGTGCAGTATGGATCAGATCACACACCTGGGAATAAGCCACCTTAACTCAGATACGACAATGTATCCAAAGCTACCTGGTGGGGGACCTGGGTTCCACCACCAGACTCAGGGCAACATGCTGGTACAGATGGCTATGGAGCAAAACAACTTCTCCACAGTGAGGTAAGCTATCTGCCAGATACAATCAAAGCTAACATATAACTAGTTCTCCCTTCCACAGCTACTTGGGCAACTCATGGTTTCCCTTTCACTGTTCATGAAGAGAAGGAATTTAATAAAATTATCTCCTTAGTTCCTCTGCAAATTTCAACTGGACTTGAATTCCTAAGACAATAAAGTGAAATAACCAAAGACTGATGCTCTAGGGTAGCCTAAGAAGCACAGGAAATGATTAAAGAATGGGGAGGTCACTACCACCACGTATGTGGGTAGTCAAGAACCTGTTACTCAAGGGTAGTCATGTCTCTAGCTTCCTACAGCTCTGATGGAAGTAAGCTTAACTCTTCATAGATGGAAACACTTCAATGAGAAGATGCCAGGAATCTCAGAGACTAATCACACTCTGGTGAGCCTCTGCCAACTACTCCAACTCATCAGCAACCACAGAGTTCATGTTGGTACAGGTTCAAGCATACATTTGGATTGTCATGAGGGGGAGGTACTTCTACCTTTAGGCAGCCACTCAAAGATTAGACACATGAGGGTGAAATAGTATGCAACAAAAGCTAATGGCCACATACTCCTCAGCAGAAGCCTTGTTAGCCAGTGGCTGAATAGCTAACACTGAAGGTCCTTATTCTCCATGCCTTTTCTCTCTCTTCCCCTCAAGGAAATAGATCCAAAGCCATTCACTTCAACTTGGTTACACATGTAATCACAAACATACATTTGCCATCATTGTCTGAGGCACATGTATGACAAATTCTTGTCAATATGCTCTGAAACCATGGATTGCTGTGCAGCTAAAATGCCTAATCTATGCTCATTTATCAAAATGAATGAATGAAAAAAACATGTTGGTAAATGGATGCTATAAAAACTCAGGCTAAAATGCCTGTCCCCAACCATAATTCGCATTGCTGGTATTCTGCAAGAAATAAGAAATGAATGGGAATTGTTGTCAAAGCCATATGAAATGTTCTATCAGTCACCTATAGGAAGTATCAGAAACCTGATGTCAAACAAGCATCAGACAGTTAATTCTGGCTTTTTGCTACTACTTGTACTGGCAACCAAGAAGAGTCCTGGATGGAACTTCCTGATAACACTGACTATTTGTTTTTATATTAAAACCCAATTTAAAACTATCTCCTGAGTGACCATGAGTTGATTTTAGTATTTACAAGTTTGTTTGCTGAAGGAAGGAAAACTGGGGTGTGGCCTACCTTGGAAGACTGGGGGTGTGAGGTTTAGGTTTACTAGCTACAAAAGGCTTTGATTCAGAAGGAATCACTCCATGAGAATTTTGGTGCGGCTCCAGCGACGTTTTAGGAGGGGCGGGATGCGGGTCCCTGAGAGGCTGTGATGGTTGCTGGGAGTCCAGATGGCGAATGGATTCCTTTTCCCTGGTTTTGTTTTTGTGCTCGGCTAATAACACATCAAATCGTTTTCTTCTACCCTGAACAGCCCTCCGCTGGGTTAAGGAATGTGTCTACAAACAAAAACACAAACAATAAACAAACAAGAGGAACCTCAATAACTTTTATGTCATACATCCCCAGACACAACTTTACTAAAAAACCAATCTACATCATTCTTCTCAACATTTGTTAACCTAGAAATAAGAATGGAACTTTTCTCCTTGGCTAGACTAAAAAGCATATATTCTAGATTCTCATTGAAGAACCTGGAGATGCTACCCCATCAGAGTAAAGGATAGATGGTTTGTGTGGCATGGCTCAAGGCGTGGAGTGCCTGGTTCAGCAAACATGAGACCCTGAGTTCAAACCCCAGGAAGAAGAGAGAAAAAGAGGGAAGGAGAAATACTAACTGTCCACTGGCTTTGTGCTTAGCAAAGCAGTAGAAATAAGTAACAAATACTCATGTTTTATACCCTAGAGCAATTAATTTATCCAGGATTTTATCAACTCCATTAAAAAACTTTTCCTCTTTTGATAATTAAAATCCTGAATGTTAATATAAAAGTAACAATTATCCCATAAAATGAATGTTAAGGTCAGGTACTCATGGTTCATGCTTCTAATCTACTAAGAAGGCTGAGATCTGAGGATTGCAGCTCCAAGCCAGCCCAGGCAGGACAGTTTGAGAATCTTATATCCAATTAACCATAAAAAACCCAGAAGTGGAACACACACACACACACACACACACACACGCACACGCACACGCACACTTCTCTCTCTCTCTCTCTCTAAATAAGGAGAGCACTCACTTAACTTCCAGAACATAAAAATTAAACACAACTGCTTCTCTCTATTCCAATGCAAATGCTCATGTGTTTTAGACACAGAGGACTACAACCAAGGAAGACTTGAGAGAAATAGAGAGTATAAGGCTGGGAACAAAGAGCTGTGAACAGGAAGAGACAGAAAAGCAGAACAGACCCCTAAAAATAGCCACTTCTTCTATAAACCAAGAAAACTGTACCCACAATGTACAATTCTAGAAAGAGGAAAGGGTATATAGAGGAGAAATATGGCCAAATTATGGCAGATCTGGAACTATAAAGGCAGAAATATAAATCTGAGGTTCAAGCACATTTTAAATATAAGAAGTCTAACATTACTCCTGGTAGAAGATACAACTGAATGTACAAGTGTGAAGTGGTAAAAGTTGGGCAAATCTTACCAAAAGTCACCTCCAGTCACTGGGAAATGATTTTGCAGGTCAGCTTGTCTATTCTGCATACTTCTGCAGAGAGCCTAATGCCCAAGAGAGGACGAATCTATACCAACTACAACAGCCTCCATTACATCATCTATGAGCATAAGTAAATTCACCTATACATTTCCTTCTTTACGTTACAAAATACTGTACATGGTATTTTATATACACACATATGTAACACATGTATGTATTGGTTATATATATGTGTGTGTGTATAATATATATATATATTATATAAGCACATCTGTCTGGAGAGACAGATGGAATGTCACTTGGTACTTAACATAGTTAAAAGACAAGAAAGAAGGCAGACAGTTTCATCCCAACTCTGAAGAATGTAAGTGATTCCTTTCCTTTCTTGCCTTCCTCCTAGTACTCTGCCAGTACCAGGACTTGAATTCAGGGGCTTATGCTCTTGCTCAGTTTTCTTGCTTAAGACTAGCACTCTAACACTTGAGCCATGCTTCCTATCCAACATTTTGGTGGTTAATTGGAGATGGAGTCCCACAGATTTCCCTATTATTATCTCTTTGAACCTTGATCCACTGGGTCTCAGCCTCCTGAGTACCTAAGATTACAGGCATGAGCCACCAGTGTCCAGCCAAACAGGATTTCTAATGAGCTCTAAAGAACATTGCCAAAAGAAATCTGATGACTTGCCCCATGGCATATAGGAGAAAGACTGAGTAGCCTAACTTCTGGGGCTCTGCACACTCTAAGAGCCTTGTTTCATGATACTTGGGTATACTTCATGCATTTTCCTTACTCCTATATTCAGTCTTCTGACTATCTTTCAGGCTTTAAGGTGACTGCTCTACCCTGTCTCAGGGTTTTCATGTGTATTATTTCTTCCACCTCTTTCACCTCTCCTACCCGGCAGTGCCCAGATAAATCAGAATATGACCCCACCCCAATGTTCCTGTAGCTGGAAAAGTTCCCTAGCAAAAACCTTGACTGCAGGCTGTCATAACACAGGCCTCTCTCTCCCTGTCTCCTTCCTATAAATCACTAGTAGTGATTTATTTATCTGAATCACTATCCTATGGCTCTCCATCTTCTGTATTAGACTGTAAGCCCCACAAGGACAGAGAACATGCCTTGATCTTACCCTTTACAGCTCCTGAAAGCTAAAATGAGTCTTCTCTTCATAGATGCATGTAATAAGGTTATTTGATATAATAACTGAATGGGACAAAGGGCAACCAAATCATGAAATCTTTCTGCATAGAGGCACAAGGAACATCAGATAGGCAATCTGTCAGATGAGGAAATAAGAAGGAAACAATCAGGTGAGAGTAGACAAGAGGACATGAGTGATGGAAGGGAACAGCTGCAAATCCCTTGCCAGGGGGAAGAATACACATGACAGTCTTAAGTCTAGGACAGAAAAGATCTGACAGCAACCTAGGGACATGCAGGTAAGGTGCACTGAGCACATTTAGTCAGAAAGACTCCTGCATATTATGTTTATGGCAACACTGTTCCGAATAGCCAAATGATGGCATTAACAGAAGTACCCAACAACAGATGAATAGGTAAAGATAAAATATATCTGTACACACACACACACACACACACACACATACAAGCATATTACATAGGCACAAAGAAAAATAAAAGTCCCTGGGTGCCGGTGGCTCACGGTTCAAAGCCAGCCCAGGCAGGAAAGTCCATGAGACTATTCTCTCCGGTGCTATGGTTCAAGCGGTAGAGTGCCTGCCTTGAGCTGAAGAGCTGAGGGACAGCGCCCAAGCCCAGAGTTCAAGCCCCATGACCGACAAAAAAAAAAAGTCATATCATTTGTAGGAAAATAAAAACAGCTAGAGGACATCATACTGAGATAAGCCAAGCTCAAAAAAGGAAAACATCAGATGTTTTCACTCATATGTGGAAACTAGACCTAGAAGACACACACACACACACACACACACGTGTGTGTGGATATGGACATATACATATATATACATGCATATTACACATATATGAACCTAAATATATATATATATACAAACATATACATACATACACAGGTTAATCACAGGACATGAATCAAGCTAAGAGACTGCTAAGTAGGAGAGAGGATAAAGGGTGATTAACTTTGTAACAGTTTTTAAGACTTCCTCATAGTGAACCTCAGTAACAGCTGATGATCAATGGGAGATGTAGGAAAAAGACTGTAGGTGGGTAGGGACTAAGATGGTTGGGCTGGTGGGGAAGATAAAGGAAAATGGCTGCTATGGAAAACAGATTTTCAACTATGAAAATGAAACAAGGAATCCTGTTGGGGATGCTATTTTTAGGGGGGAGGGTGAGAGTTAGGGAGAGTGAGAAAGAGGGTAAGACTGATTTGAATACAGTGTAAATCAACCTCCCTAGCCATAAAAGAAATGCAAATCAAAACAACATTAAGATACCACCTCACCCCAGTTAGAATGGCAAAAATCAAGAACTCTAACAACAACAGATGCTGGAGGGGATGTGGACAGAAGGGAACCTTACTGCATTGTTGGTGGGAGTGTAAACTTGTTCAACCACTTTGGAAAGCAGTATGGAGGTTCCTCAAAAGACACCACATAGAGCTCCCCTATGACCCAGCAATCCCACTTTTGGGCATTTACCCAAATGTTTACAAACAAGACCACACTAAAGCTACCAGCACAACTATGTTTATTGCAGCATTATTTACCATAGCTAAGATATGGAACCAACCCAGATGCCCCTCAGTAGATGAATGGATCAAGAAAATGTGGTATATATACACAATGGAATTCTATGCCTCCATCAGAAAGAATGACATTGTCCCATTTGTTAGGAAATGGAAAGACTTGGAAAAAATTATATATATATATATATATATATATATATATTTTTTTTTTTTTTTGGTCCAGTTGTGGGTCCTGAACTCTGGGCCTGGGCGCTGTCCCTCAGCTCTTCAGCTCAAGGCTAGCGCTCTACCACTTGAGCCACAGCGCCACTTCTGGCTTTTTTCTTTTTGCTTATGTGGTGCTGAGGAATCGAACCCAGGGCCTCAGGCATGCAAGGCAAGCGCTCTACCACTGAGCCACCTTCCCAGCCCCGGAAAAAATTATATTAAGTGAAGTAAGCCAAGCCCAAAGAAACATAGGTCCCATGGTTTCCCTTATTTACAATATCTAGTATATGTATGAGTCAAGCAGAAAAGGTCAGATAAGGTGATATTAGGAAAATGAACCTAAGATATATATTTAAATGTTTTTCTTTCATGCATTTGTTTCTAACACATTTATAAGATTATTTTTTAGTTGCTTTATATGTCCCTCCCCCACAGTATAACCCCTGCTTTCACTGTATTTGATGTCAGTATAATTTGTGGAGGGGAAGGGGAAAAACAAGTCGTTTAAATAAGGATACAGGTGGACCCGTTGCAACAATGAGAAGTACACGTTGTCATGTCAAAAATGAACTTTACAACTTTGGTGGTGGGGGGGGGCAACAGGCCGGGGGGGGGGGGGGGAGGCTGGGAAGGGATGGGAAGGGGAAACAAAGGAGGAGGCTACAATGCTTGATAAGAAATGTACTCAAAAAAAAAAAAAAAAAAAAAGAAATGTACTCATTATCTTGCCCATGTAATTGTAACCCCTCTGCACAGTATTTTCACAATGAAAAATAAAAAAAAATGAAATCTCCCAAAATAAAAGCAAAGGAAGTAAAGGGAAAGTTAAGTAAAGATCTCTGTGAAAGTACAGGCCTCACAGGGGCCTATATATCCTGCCAATTCTATGCTGAATTCATGACCAGTTAGGGGTGAAGATACAGATTAATGTAATGACAAGATTAGTGCTAATGAGCAATGATACCCTTATTAGACTAGCAGAAGAAGCTAGGTGTGGCGGCTTATGCCTATAATTCCAGCTATTTTGGGAGATTCATATGAGGAAGACTGGTTCCAGACCATCCTAGGCAAAAAATTTGTGAGATCCCTATGTCAACTAATACAAAACTGTGTGTTAATTGGGCACTGGTGAGCCATGCCTGTAATTCTAGTTATCTTTAAGGCTGAAATTGGGAGGGACATTCATGGCCAACGTGGGCAGAAAAGTTTGAGATCTCTTCTCAGGAAAGTTGGGTACACAGTGGTATGTACCTGGTTAGCCTAGCTACTACAGGAAGTTATGCTCAGACATGCACCTGAGCAGGAAGAAAGGCCTTATCTCAAAAGTTACCAGCAGAAAACAGGGCAATGTGACTCAGCAGTAAGAATACCTGCCTAAGAAGCCCGAGGCCCAGAGTTCAAACCCAGAGTTCAAACCACCCAAAAAACAAAAACAAAGAAAACTAAAAAAAAAACAAAACTGGATGCAATTGTATGTATCCAATTGTATGTATCTACCTAGTTATGCAGGAAGCATAACTAGGAATATCATGATTCAGGGAGACAAAGTGAGATCCTACTTGAAAAATAATGAAAGTAACAATGGCTGGAGTTATGCTCAAAAGTGATAGATCACCTGCCTAGCAAACAAGAGGCAGTTCAAACCCCATTACTATCCTAATACTTTCTTTTTTTTTCTGGTTGGTCATGGGGCCTGAACTCTGGGCCTGGGTGCTGTCCCTCAGCTCCTCAGTTCAAAGTTAGTGCTCTACCCATTTCAGCCACAGTGTCACTTCCGAGTTTTTCTGTTTATGTGGTGCTGAGGAATCAAACCCAGGGCCTCATGCACACAAGGCAAGCACTCTACCACTGAGCCACCTTCCCAGCCCCTATCCTAGTACCATTTTTAAAAAAGAAAAAGAAGAGCTGAAGAGCACATATCATCTGAAAAGAAAGACAGGTGCAAGGAATGGAGATCCCTTATCAGGTCACATAGCAATCAAGGCAAATGAGGAATGGCATGAAGCTTCTTGTACTTCTCAGGATTTACTCAGAAGAACTGAAATTAGGGCTCTAAGACGTACTAGCCTCCCCATGTTTATCTAAGCACTATTCACAGTAGCCAAGATGTGGAAACAAGCTAAAAGTTCAGGTATGATAAAAAGAAAATGGGGGTGAATACATGCTGTGGATTAATCAGCCTTTAAAGAGAAGGAAATCCTATTTGTAACAATATGGATTGCCCTTGGGAATGCACTAAAAGAAATAAGCCACTCACAGAAATATAAATACATGATTTTGCCAGGTGCTGGTGGCTCACACCTGAAATCCTAGCTTCTCAGGAGGTTGAAATCTGAGGCATGGCTTAAAGCCAGCCTGGGCAGGAGAGTTCATGAGACTCTTATCCCCAGTTAAGCATCAAAAAGCCAGAAGTGGAATGTGGCTCAAGTAGTATAGTGCAAGCCTTAAGCAAAATGAAGGACAGCACCCAGACGCTGAGTTCAAGCCCCAGGATTGTCAAACCAAAACCCAAACCAACTGTCCCCCTCAAAAAAATAAAAAAACAGGGCTGGGATGTAGCTCAGTGGCAAAGCGCTTGCCTAGCAAGTGCAACGTCCTGGGTTCGATCCCCAGTACCAAAAAAGAAAAGACAAAAAAATACAGTTTAAAAAAAAACAAAAAACCCAAACAACAAAAAAATAAAAAAACAAAAAACAAAAACAAATAAAAAAAACCCCTACCATTTCATTTACATGTGGTATGTAAAGATAAACACAAAGAATGAAAAATTATATGGTTGTTATTAGTGGCTGGGAGGACAGGGTTGAAAGGAGGAAGCTACTTTAACAACAGTCCCCAAAGATTCAGGTAACCAAGATGAATAAGTTCCAGAGATCTGTTGTACAACCTATAGTCAATAATAGTATACTGTACTGTACTGTATTGTACTGTACACCTAAAAATACTAACAGGCACAGCTGGGTGCTTGTAGCTTACACCTGTAATCCTAGTTACTCAGGAGGCTGAGATCTGAGGATCGTGGTTCGAAGCCAGCCTGGGCAAGAAAGTCCCAATAAACTACTCAGAAAAAGCCAGAAATGGCATTGTGACTGAAGCGGTAGAGCACTAGCCTTGAGAAAAAGAGCTCAGGGTTAGCACACAGGCCCAAGTTCAAACCCCATGACCAACAAAAAAATAAAAATGAAAAATAAATTTTAAAAAATACTAAAAGGGCCGGGCACTGGTGGCTCACGCCTGTAATCCTAGCTACTCAGGAGGCTGAGATCTGAGGATCGCGGTTCAAAGCCAGCCCAGGCAGGAGAGACCATGAGACTCCTATCTCCAATAAACCACCAGAAAACTGGAAGTGGCGCTGTAGCTCAAGTGGTAGAGTGCTCGCCTTGAGCTGAAGAGCTGAGGGACAGCGCCCAGGCCCAGAGTTCAAGCCCCACAACCGACAGAAAAAAAAAAAAATACTAAAAGGCTATATGTCATGTCAAATGACTTAACCACTATAAAGTTTTAAGAGAAAAATCTGTTTTATCACCTGTCTCTCAGGTAATTTCCAAAGAACAGTTTTTGGATGAATAAAATGTCCCTCACTGAACACAGGTATTACAGGCAATCTAGATTACTGAGAGCCACATAGGCAACACGGAGGGTAACAAGAATGAGCAAGTGGTTAAACATGGTAAAGGAAACTGTGAAAGAATTCTATAGAACTTTAATGGATATCTTAAAAAAAACACCACTCTAAGTTTTCTATTAATATTCCAAGAAAGGCAAAAGCCATTTTCTCTGAGGTATAAGTTTTTTACCTAGAGATTCAAGCCTAACTCAAGACAAAATGCAAAATCAAAATACATAAATGTGGCATTTCCTCTTCCCACAAAAGAGGAGAATGTCTAATTTTTGATAAGTTTAAATATGAATTTAAACATTCTTTTATTCTAGGTGTAATGATACATGCCTATAACCCCAGAACTTGGAAGGGTTATTTGAATTTAGGAGTTCAGAACAATCCTTGACAACACAGTGTGAGTCTATCTTTTGTTAAGAAAGCTGGAGCTTGAGGTGTCTCAGGTGGTAGAGCACGTTCCACCTGACAAGTGCAGAGCTGAGTTCAAACCTTAGCCCCACAAACAGAAAGAAAAGAAAAAATCACTATTGTAAGACAAAATCTGTACACTAAAAATTAGAAATCAGAAATTGAATTAAAAGAACTAAAATTTAAAATTTACCAATTTAAAAAAATTGGAAGAGGTAATTTTTTATAATTTTTCCCCCTCCCTCAAATGAAAGGTTTAAAAGTAAATACTTTACAGTGATTATTTTTCATAGTTCTTCAACACTTTTGAAGGGTACCTGGGGACATTTCCGGAGAAATACAGGCATGTTTGCTTATACAGATGCCCTGAAGTCAGCTCCATATCCACAATCCTTATGTGAAAGTGGACATATTACCTTCTCATATGAACATGCTGTTCTTGTAACGAAAATAAAAACTTCTGAGTAAAAAAAAAAAAGAGGACCATTATATTTTCTTAGTTTATATATAAATTGATTTATCTACATTTATAAAAACTAGAAAGTAAGGCTATCTAAAAGTCCCAGATCTTTAAAAAAATTTTTTTTTATTGTGAAAATACTGTACAGAGGGGTTACAATTACATGAAGTCCCAGATCTTTTAAAGAGTGCTTCTTTAAAAAGTTTAAGAACTATGAATCCCAATTTGGGCACTAGTGGTCCTCCTAAGAATGAGGCTCATGCTTAGATCAGAGGCTGAGATCTGAGGATTGACTTTGGAAGCTATGAGACTCATCTCCAATTAACCACCTAAGAGCTGGAAGCTGAGGGATAGCTCAAGTGGTAGAGTTACAATATTGAGTACAAAAACTAAAGAACAAGTGCCAGGTGCAGAGTTTACACACGCATGCACACACACACACACGCACACACACACATGCAGGCACACGCAACAAAACAAAATTTTAAGAATTTTCATTCTTGTTTTAAGTCAGTGCAATTGAAGGCACAGTAAAGAGTGTATTCATCCTAGGAAGGATCACCATTCTCCAGGATCAAAAGATACTCATGAAAACAAAATCTTTCCTGTAAGTGTATAATTCCTAGCATACTTCCCTTCTTCTCTACTTGAGGCTTTCATCATCATTGTTCTCTCACTTATTCAACTCAGAACAATCCAAAGCACAGGCTTGCCCATGAGTCAGAGACTACATGACCAGTGTGGTACTTCTCAGTGCCCTGTGCTTATCACACTCTTCAGCTCTGACTGAATGTAGGAGGCCACCTACCTTGCACGTCAAAGACCGGGTGCAGGGCTTCTTGGTGTCAAGGTCAATGACCCCACAGTGGATGTCAGGATCAAACTCTCTTTCTGTCAAGAGCATAGAAACATTACAATGGGCTCACCACACACTTCATTTAGTTTTGGAAATAAGAACATAGGAGAAATCTCAAGACAGGAAAATTACCGAAATTATCATATGAACAAATTTCATCAAGTTATCAGTAATTCCAAAATAGATGATATGTAAGCACTTCAATGGAGCAAAAAGTATCACTAGAGGACCACAACTGCCATCACATGCTGGAAAACAATGTTTATACAAGCATTGCTATATTGCTGCTTTTGGAAACACATGACTAGAAAGCTTTGTTAATATTATATACACATACCTTACTCCTCATCTCATACACACGCAGTATAAAACTGAGAGAAGAGGACAAGCACAGTGCTTAACGAACTATCTCCTAAAGCTGAAGTTCACTAGTTTTACAAAATAGACATAAAGACAGCTGTTCATTCAATACACATTTAATATACATAGAAGTATTAAGAGAAAACTGTGATGTTACCTGATAATCTTTTATTTAAAAACTTCCTATTATTAGAATTGTCTTCAGATTTCTTTTCCAGAGTTGGCGGTGCAGGAAGTCCTTTGCCATTCAGAATCTGTCCAGGTGAAGGCAAGTTTGGCTTTGGTATTGAGGGGCAGTTAAGGCCAGGCTTGACTGAGGAACTCACAGTAGCAGGACAGGTTGGCCCCACCGCAGATTTCAGTAGTGTGCCATCCATCTTCGGATGTATCTTTTCTACCTTTACAGAAGGTGTCATGCTGCTGGAGGAGGAAGTGAGAGCGGCAAGGCCTGAGTACTTCATAGCCTTGAGTGAATGGTTAAGAATGAGGGCAGAGGCTGGCTCTTTCCAGCATAGCACAGGCCCAACCCCCTGGAAAACACCTTATGAATTATTTTGGAACTACTCAAGAGAAACCTACGTAGTTCACATTTATGTAGTCTGTAAGTTCTCTGAAGGGGCAAAAGGCCCAGAGGATTTTCAAGTGACTTTTGTCATTTCAGAAAGTTTTACCTACAGAGCTATGTAAAATTCAGGCCTGATACTCAAGGCAATTTCTGCAAGAAATTTTTGCAAGAAGCAGACATGAAAAGATCATCAAAAAAGACCTAAGACCACAACCCTTAGAGAATATGAGAGTCACCATTTTTAAGAAAGGATTCATCAAAACAAACTTCTGAATAGTAAATACTTCCAAGTACTAACACTAAAAGACTTAACTCAAACAATGTTAAGCTAACAATGTCTTCAAGAAGAGGCCCTCTGCTTTTCTCAACAATAAAATATAATGTGGCTCTGCTTCAGACCCAAACAAATGTGTCTATAAGCACCTGTCACATAGCTAGCTGGTGGGCATGTTGTCATTTTGCCTGAAAAACCTGAAAATGTTGATTAAAAGCTAATTGTTGGCCTGGTCCACCTCTACAGATCTCATTTCACACAAACATCTGTAACGATGAGCTTTTGCAAATTTTGTCCAGCAAATCAGTACTCTGACAGATGACAAATAACTTACACATCACATTGGCTTTTTAGCTTTTAAACAACTATAGGAGTGAAAGCCAACTTTGCTGCACTGTACTTCTGACAAGTGAGCAGGGGCTGAGGGCTTAGCAACTTCAAATAGCTCTACACAGCTATATCAAGAATAGTGTGACAGCAGCAGAACAATTTCAAGATACCACGATTGTCCCAGCTGGTAACTAAGTCCTTCAGCAACAAGGTGCTGGACCCTTTCTAAGATCAATCAGGTAGTCAGACTTTGGGAATGATATATGTGGCATACTCTGAAGGAAGGCAGACCAGGGAAAAGGCAACCACCACCAGGCTAAGGGATACCTTGACAAAGCAAGATATGTTTCTATAGGATTGTATGGAACTACTTCAGTCTTCTACTATGATAGAAAGTCAAAGCTGGCAAGGGGAAGCATGCTTCACTCTTGACCCCTACAAGTCCTAGAGCTAAGGCTGGGCATCTCCTCACCTTTTTACCTTGGCTATTGTCAACAGAAGTGGCAGGAACATCAACAGTCACACATTAACTGTCTTCAATGGGCCAGAAACCATGTCTGTTACATGACAGATACGAACTGGTACATTCCCCAATTCCACATAATACTATTTGTTATTCAGAGAAATGCCTTGCTCAAAGGCCTCAACTAGGAAGGGACAGAAGTAGGGCCAGAAACCAGGCCCATTTGACTTGGAGTCTTCTCAAAGTTCCTCAACCTAAGCTTGTTTCTCCTCCCATGGAAATGGGAATAGCAATTCCTATTCCACAGGTATGTGATGATCACTTAATGACAGTACACAACAGAGCTTACTTTCAGTTACTAGAACACAGGAAAAGGATCAATAGACAAGTATTACAAACCTTATTACTACCTATTACTACTCTGAAAAGTCTCCTGTAATATAATAGAGACACAGAAAGAACCAATACAATGTACTTGAATTTCCCACAAGTAGGCTCTTTCATATGACTCCAAGACTCTACTCACACACACAGCTCATTACCAGAAGGTACGCTTTAAAAACACTTGTGGCCATACTCACACTCTAGCAGGGGGTACTCTACTCTGCTGAATGGGATGCATGGGCCTGGTGCTCCCCCTGAGTGGCAGTTTCTCTTTGGGTGATTTCAACAACTTTGAACTTGATGAGGGCGCACTGAGAACTCCTCCACTGGAAGACCTGCTGCTTCCACCTGCACTGCCTCCTTTGCTTTTGGGCAGAGAATTGAAGAAAGAAAATACTGAAGTGGGAGGGACGGCCAAAGGCGGCTTGCTGGATGAGCTATGTCTTCTTTCTGAAAAGGAAAACCAAGAAGAAAACAACCATGTTTCAGGAAAATCTCAAATGGGACTCTTAGAAAAATTCCCTGAAATCAACAACCTTAGGCCAAGACACGTATAATTAATTGAAAATTTGCAAAAGGCAACAACTTTCAGAAGGGCTTATCTAGGCCCTACAGACTTAGGATTCTAAGAACCAGTGCTATTTCCAACACATCTTGGCATAAAAGGTTTATCATCCAGAGCCATTAGAAAATTTCCCATTCTACATTTGAGCATACACTCTTGGGTTTTGTTATGTTACAAATGAATCCCACTAGCTTCAACTTACACTAAGAGGCAATATTATTCACTCATCTTTATAGCCTGTTAATTGATACCACGTGTAATTTTCTTCCTTTCTAGCATAGCACCTCTCTGATTTTCAGAATAGCAAAATCTGAAGAAACAAGTTGTACCATTTTTCCCCCTAACCACCAGCATAGAACACCAAATAAAAAATGTTATCTTATCATTCCTTAGGAATCTGTGCTAAAATTTTCCAGTGAATCATTTTAACTCCTTCCCCTTTAATAATGTCACTCAACTACAGATGGCATAGCTCCGGATCACACCGCTAGGATGCCAAAGGCACAAGACAAAAATACCACAAATAGCGAGGCCTCTTTTTTAAAAAAGCAGGAAGTAATTAATGGGTAAGTACAGACTACAAAGGTTTAACTGAGAATCATATTTTCTCAAAGCAATCTATATTAATAAAAATCAGAGATGCTTAAACAATGTTACAATAAGAAATAGGTTAAGTAGTAACTATTTTCTTAAGAAACCTGTTTTGGTAGCTTAGTGACTGTCTTCAATTAAACCTGGAATTTAAAACTGCATATTTACTTAACTCTTGAGTTTTAAAATGCATATTTTAATGCATAATTTAATGTACTACATAAGGCAATGAAAATATATCCATTTATGATAAGTATTTCAAATTAAACCTGTAATTCAGGAAAAGAATTTTGTACACAGTCATCTCTGTTCTTCATGCTTTTTAATCTTAAGTTTGCTTTTGCATAAATCTTTATAAAATTATTAAAACCTCTAAATTACAAAGCAAAAAAAAATGTGTATGAATGAATACTGACTGGACTTACATGCGTACTGAAATCTTAAGCATGTTAAAATAGTGACAACTAGCATCACTTAAATGGCTTACTTCCAAAGACTTGGTATTACTTTGGGGCCTTTGGGTAAAGCTATGATGACTTATTCCTGGAAGGACCGTAGTTTAGCAACACTTTATGAGGTGCTTGAGAATCTGATTCACAGCAGGAGAAAATGACATTATCTGCAGGCAAAATTCAAACTTTCCAACTTATACAGAGGTACAATCAATTTAGGAAGACTAAACTAATATGATTTGTAAGTGCTGGCCTGCTCCTGTATTAAGTTTTATGTCCAAGGAAAGGAAATTTAAAGTAACTTCACTTTAATCAATTCTCAAATTTGGCACCTGAGGTGTCTTTGTTTTGGCAAAAATACAGGTTTTTTTTAGGTAGGCATGGTGGGACACACCTATGGTCCTAGCATTTAAGAGGAGGCTGAGAAAGGCTTGAGGCCAGCATGGCAAGACGATTGTAAAAAAACAAAAACAAAAGTAGTTTCTTTCTTCTTCTTTTGTGGCCATACTGAGGGTTCAAACTTAGGGTCTTGCACTGGTAGGTCTGTCATTATTTTCACTTTCAGTTATTTTTTAGATAGGGTCTTACCTTTTTGCCCAGGGCAGGCCTGGACATTCATCCTCCTATTTACTTTCCATGTAGCTGGGATGACAGGCATGCACCATTTTGTCTGGCAGGAAATTTATTTTTTTCTCCCAAACATTCTGAACATACTCCCAAGCATGTTTATAGTTTTGTTGCCTGCCCTATATGAGTGGCACTTCCATGAACCTTATCTCTTATCTTCCTCTATAAGGCATGCCACAAGAAAGAAGTCTTCTATTTATATTTTAAATACTGTATTTTAAAGACTGGTACAGCTCTCTTGGGAAAAAGATTTTCAAATGGCCCAGTAGTTCACAATTTCAGCTATATTTCTGAGTGACTAAAAACTCTGATGCTTGTACCTCTCCTACAGCCTGTGATTTAATTGGTTTGGGGTGTGATACAGGCATCCAGACTTACCCAGCTGTTGTGTGTGACTGTATCGTACAGCCTAGGTTGAGAGCCTGACCTAGGCTAGGCAAACAACTCAGGAACCATTAACCATGGCTGAGCGAGTTAACATCTGCACAGTGCTGAGAACATATGGCATATCGCACTTTATTTAAAGCCTCGTCAACTATAGCTCACTGCTACTACTTTGTCTTAGTGATTTTCAAACTTTCATCAAATGCAACTATTTCCATCATTCTTAACAAAGCCACTTTTTAAACTTAATTTTTAAAAAACTTAATATTTTTATTTTGGAACTGGAGGCATAGTTCAAGTGGTGGAGTGCCAGCCATGGTTGAAAAAGCTAACTAAGAGATGAGATTCTCAGTTGCACACACATGTGAAGCCCTTTTCATCTAAATCATTTTCAATGGTATCACTGCTTCCTCCTTGCTATAGTTCTAAGTCTCTCCGGGGAGCATTCTTGGTATTCTGTACCTACATACAGGATTTCAGGGTAGTCAGCATTCCTAGTCTCCTACCAATTAATCACCAGCAATGTCCCTCTGTCACAGACAACTTTCACTCCTACCCCCACCATTTCCAGATAGGCTCCAGGGTAAAGCATAGAACTACCACTCTTAGCTGAGAGCTATTTATTTTCCCCCAAACTAATATATCCGTGAAACAGTTAAGTTTTTTCTCCTGAAAATATTAAAAGAACAAAGTATTTAAATATCTACCCATATTAATTCACAAAAAGCATCTTGTGCACTCACCCCAAGCAGTACAATGAAACAATGATACCAGGTCTGTGGTACAAAGGGAAAGGGGAAAAAAAACAACAACTACAAATGTAGTATTCTTTGGGCATCAGAAGCCTCAGAGAATCTGAGAGAAAAAGTACAATGGTCCCCAACTTTTGAAGGTTTAACTTACAATGTTTTGACTTCATAATGCTGCAAAAAGTGATACTTGTTTAGGTACTTGGAATTTCCAATCTCTGTTTTCTCAGACAGCATAAAACCAGTTGTCAACCAGATACATGATCTGAAAGGGAGAAATCCATGTGCCAAGCTGTGCTGTCACTAAGCTACAATGCTCAAAACTTGGGAGGATTAATATATTCTTGACTTAATGATAATTTCAACTTGCCAAAGCTTTAATGGTTCCATCATTAGTTGAGTAGCATTTGCAATGTAGTTTTTCTTAAGATCAAATGATTAAAGAAAATTTGTAATCTAGTCAGTTCAACTATAATGCTTGCTTTGAGAATGCAAATTTATTCCAGAATAATCTAACCATAATAAAAATTTCCATATGCTTTTGTCTCTAAGAAATACTAAGGGAATGTAGAAAACTACACCTGGCTGAACTAGTCACATGGGGTACCTGAGGCACGCGGAACCTCAAGCATCTATCATGCACCTCAGGTCAGGGCACATGTTAAGAACCACACCCCAAAGCATTTGGTGTTAACAGTTTTCTGTCAGTTCCATATGATTTTCTTCCATCACTTCCCACAATTTACAAGTTGTGATCTACTCTATACCCACTTCACAGTCAAATGCCAGGACTTTACAAGGTAAATGGTCAAATTTACCTTAGTATTTGCATATATTTAACCATTTATCATTTGTAAGACGGTGCTACCATTTTCAGTAGGTTCCTATCTTTTTTTGTGTCACAAAAGACATTTTTAGTGTTGTGCCATAACTCATTTTCCCAATAAGCCTCATGCGGTTTTTATTGCATAATTTTGCACAGTGCACTAATTTTTAAGGAATGCATGTTGTTATATAGCAGGATTGATGGCAACTTTTGGCTTTTTTTTTTCCTTCAATTTTCGGGTCTCATCATGGTCTGCCCTCCCTTTTTCTTTAGTTAACATCTTTCCTTGCCTGTTAAGGCTTACATGGGATTCAACAATAGAGAAACAAGACTCAAAGCTTCTTAATGATAAAAGTCTGTTGCCATGTCAGTACTTCCCCCAAATCCCTGCTTTAAAATAAAATCTATTTGAAACTAAGAAAGGCAATTTATTATGTGAATTTTTCATTCACTAAAACTTGAAACAGATTGTATCTGTATGTGTAAACTGAGATTGTGCCAGCTCAAATCCCTGTCATACTACTGAATTAAGTTGTTCCATCACAGTACAAATGCGAAACTTATTCTGTGAGAAGGACAGAATCTGGCTTTCTCCTCAGAAGAAAGCAAAGATGAAAAAATTAAATTATAGCTGAGTTTGACTCCATTTAACCTTTCACCATGTGTCTTTATATTTCGTAAGATTTTAAACAGGGATTAGAGCTTTAAAAAAGTATTTCTTCCGAGATCAAAAGGAAAGTGGGCAACTTATGAGTAAGTTAGGGAGGCTATATTAAACTGAACAAAGTAAAGTAGTGGCCGGATGCTAAGCCAAACTGCCATGTGGTTTGCTAAAGAGTCCAAGTTGAGTTTTCAAAGAGCTCCTCTCCTCTCTCCAGAACCTGGCACTAGCCCAGATAAAGCACCCTCTGTCCCTGAATGAGGAGCATATTGTGAATAGCTCTAGTAAGTGACAGAAAGGCAGGCAGACCACCAGACAGACAAGCACAAACATAGGGAAATTGAGAGCAGTGACAAAGGTAAACAGACACACAGAAGGAGGATAGGGGCAGGAGAGATAGAAGGGAATGGAAAGAAAGAGCAAACAAGAGAGATGAGTGGGGAAGGAGAGGGAGACACATCTGCACTGGCCATCTTATCCCCTGAGGCTTGCTACTGTGACATGCTTACCAGGTAAGGGCAAGCAGATGGGGAAAAGAGAGGCATTCCAAAATGGAAAGCAACTGATAATACTAAGCTTATAATTCTGAATTCAT